GGCCATCCCAGTTGGCTGAGCATTGGATGAGAATGATGAATTGTGTGGCTCTTACCCATGAAATTGACAACTGTGGAAATTCCCATGACTTTTATGCCATTCCCATAAGCTTTATTCAGGTTTTTAGGACACATGATGTGCCAGGCTGAGCATGTCTATGGAAGCATGTCTGCAGCAGGTCAACCTATGAAACATGAGCAGCAATCTGGAACTCACAAAAGGAGCTTATGCGTGTTGGCATCCCCAGTTTAGAACTTCCTTTTTGAAGTTGGAATGGACCCATTTGTATGGAAATTAGAATAATAAAAATACGCAGTGACTTCCCAGAGGTGAGCCAAGTACCTAAAATATCATTGTAACAGTGTGACATCACTGTTCTAGGAGATGTCTTCGCTTCCATTGTAAGTCTAAACTATTTAAAGCAGTACTGAAAATTAAACAGTGATAAAAACTAGTTATAAAATAATAAAAAGCAGAACTTCTCAGATGTTCATCTGCAGTTCATCCCAAAATCTGAATGCTTGTGATATTCCTTTTCCTCAGTTAGCTATTAACACAAACCACAAACACTTAAGTTATACATCCAGAACAGAGAAGATTAAAATGGTGAAAATTCTAAAATCACAATTCATTGGAATGAAAGATGGATAGATTCTAGGGCAGAGGATTGCTGATGGTGGGCCAAATGTATCTAATAGAACGGCACTCTATGTACATGACTCTGATCCAAATATATGTGTGTATAGCAGTTCACTGCTATATATAGCCTGGATTCAGTTTCTGAGCCCAGCCATAGGAACACCACACAGGCAACCTCTTGAGTGGCAAAGTATTAATCAGTTCTATTATGGCTACCCAGCTTAGATACAAACTCAGCACACTGGACTGCACCATATGAGACACTCTCTTGCAATTGGGCATATTAACCTGGGTCCATCTGAGCAGAGTTCCTGGGTTCATCAAGATGTGGATGAGTGATACAGTACTGCAAAACTGGTACCCAGGACAGTTACCTGCTTTCAGTAATCTGGTTTGCCAGACCGTTCTGATTACTGAATTAGGAGTTGTGCATGCAGTATTGAACAAACAGATGGCCACTGTTGTCAGGTGCAACAATGCCAAACGTATTTAAGATTTAGGGCTTAATGTATAGGGCAGAACTGAAAGTCCCACCCTTTCTCAAAGAAGGACACCGTGCGATTAAAGTGGACAGTGCCTGAACATGTGTCATGCAGGATTCAGGGCCTTTACATGGAATTATGTTAGAAACTTTCAAAGAAATGATTGAATAGCCAATCAGTGAGCTGTGGGAGAAGGCTTGAAATTGCTTCAAAACAGAAACAGAAGTAACCGCCTGCAGTTCAAATTGTACACGTTTGCTCTGTAGAGTGTCTTGCCTTCAGTGGGACTTATAAATCAGCATTACAAGACAGCAGGCTTAAGAGAGTATGAAATACTTTAATCATGGATACTTTAGCACCTCTACAGCTGGGAAAGGGAGATCAGAAGGACAAAGAAAAATGGACTTGCAGCACAATCCTATGCATGCTTACTCAGGTTTTTAAAAAACTTTTCTTGCCGATAAGAAACTATTCATACAGATGGTTATTCTTTCCAATAACTGGGATCCCTTAAAGACTCAGTGAGGAAGTAGTGTACAAAATAGCTGGCTTTTCTTTCTTTCAGTGGGTTTTGCAAATAGTTCTAATAGCTGGTTGAATGTAGACCTGGAGTGGTGGCCAACATGGTGCACTGCAGATATAAGGGCATATCCAGAATCCTCTTTAGTGGGAAGCATAACCAGACACAGTAGACATGTCTTGGAAGAGGGCAGCTTCTCTCCACACCCGAACATTCCCTTTTATTATCATGGGAACTCAACCCTGAAGACCACTCAGCTCATCCTGGTCCAAAGTAGGGTCGTTTTCAACCATGTTGAAAGCAGAGATCAATGTAGGTTGAAACACAGATGGGAGCGAATTAACTAAACAGTGCACAAGATTCCCCCAGATGTGGACCAATGGTATGATTTGCCCTAAATCCACTGACATTTCTTTGCAGGCTAGTACAGTGGTACCTCGGTTTTTGAATGTAATCCATTCCGGAAGACCGTTCCGAGTTCTGAAAAGTTCGAAAACAGAAAACTCAATACGGAAGCCACGTGGCATGTTCTACTTCCAAGGTGTGTTCGAAAACTGAAGCGTTTACCTCCGGGTTTACGGCGTTTGAAAACCAAAATGTTCGTCAACAGAGACGTTCAAAAACTGAGGGACCACTGTAACACACCATCCCCAAGAATACAGGATTTCGTAACAAAGAGCTGTATGCCAAGCTTCCCTTTTCGGAATCTACGCTTTGATCTCAAAGTTGATGCATGAGTGTGCAGAAATCCATAGCAAACCATTTACCTCCAGTAAATCAAATTCAAAATGCTAGCAGATGCTGTTCAACTGATTTTTTCCCCTTCCCTAAACTCCTAAAGTAATAAAGGAAACGTGTTAAGAAAAAATAACCGATAAAAGGCCCTTTCCTTAACCACACCCTAAAACTTTCCATTTTAATTATTATTATAGTGCTGATGCCATAGAATAAAAAATGTGGCTAAATATACAGCAGGTGTAGACTGTCAGTATATGGAAACATCACCGCTGCAGACAGCCAGATTGTTGACATCACATGATGCGCCTATCTGTGGGAAAGAAGAATTTCCCAGGACGTTCACAGGCTGGATAAGTCTTTGTGAAGAGTGTAATTTGAAACCTTCCGTGTGCGCATGTTCAGGAAGTTTGTCAGACTTGCTGGAAGAACTGAACTGAAAGGACGTGTTTTTCTTTAGTGCTGGAATGTCAGAAATAAACATCACGTAAATAGATTTCTGACTTATTTTCTTTCCCCTGCGGAAGCAGGAGGGAGGGGTTGTGCATTTTGCCCATGCTTGGGGAAATGTCGCCTATCAAAATCTCCCTGGTCTGTCTGGATATCAGCCAGAGGAGGTTACCGGTATGCAAGCTCCGCGGACAGTGAGAGGGGCCAGCCTCTGTGAAGGGGGCTTGCAAACCGACATAGACAAAGAGGATAGAGGAGTCCGCTTTAACTGCTCTACAGGAGTAATATGCTAATGAAATGTGCAAACCAAACATTTCCCATGTGCCAGGAACTGTGCGCAGAAATGTATGCACGAAAGCTAACACATCTGGAGCTTTTAAAAACAATTCTTTAATTACTAGGAGGCCGCATAGATGCTTACATTAAACAATGGAGATAAAGGGTCTAATCCTCTAAGCGCTGCTAATGCACATCTTCCGTATATTTCAGTGGGGCTTGCAAGTGTGACGAAGACAGGATGCGTAGCAGTAGTGGCCGGTGGATGGGCCATGGAAGTCCCATTGAAACCGACAAGAGTGTGCTTCAGCTGTGCTTGGTGGATTGTGCTCAAGAATTGAAACATGTGATTTCATTCACAGGATGCTGTGATCTAACTGTTCTAGCCAAATTATACATTTAAAACAAAACATAACTGTACAGAAATTTACAGACACACACCTCAGATTGAGAGCCACAGTTAAGTGCTAGAAGCATGGAAACAAATAATTAATAGCTAGCATACTACACAGTAATTCAAGTAATCTTCTTTAATTCAAAGCTCAAGCAAATGAAGATGTTTCCTGCAAAAGCACGTTTCAATCAGCAAATTGAAATCAGCAAATGCCAGGGGCATGGAAGCCTCCTTGTATGTAGCTTTGCATGTGCAATAGGAGGAGGCTGGATCGCTCCCTCTTATGTTTAAAAGGGAATTATTGGACAGTTTTATAGTAAAAGATAGCAATCCTAAAAGCACTTATGTGCAAGTAACATAATCTAAAATAAGGCTACTTGTAAGTGGATTAAGAACTAAAGGCAACAACCATTGGTTTTAAATTATTCTGCAAATTTGGAATCAAGTGGAAAAAGGAACCTGCTATAATTTTGAATAACTATATGCTAGCAATTCAATCAGATATGACCGAAAGCTCCTAAAAAAATCTCTTTACCGGTCTTTAAAAAAGCATGCACTTTTTGATTTTTTAAAAAGGTAAATTAATCTCGAGATATAAACACAACAATAGATGCAATTTCTCTTCTAATTCTAAAAAAAGAAAGAAAACCAACATTCAGCAGTTTGCCAACACGGACTTTTAAACCCTCTTGTGTAGTTCAATTACTTTGCCATTCTTTCCCTCTATTAGGGCAGTGATTCACAATAAAAAAGTTTGCTGTGCTCTTTGGAAACTTGGGCTCCTGCTAACGTGACCGACTTTTTATCCCTGGTTGTGCTAACTGTGCGGGTCTCTGGACTTAAGAGCTCAGATTTGCCTCTATTCATTGCACAGAAGATGGAAAGTAAACAACCGTTAAGAAAAGTGTTCCTTTTGCCAAGCGCAGCATGAAGTGGCACAGCCTCTTTATGCAAGAAGTCGGAGCTGTGTTTACTAACACGTGGCATTGTTCTCTGGTCTTGCTTGGCCTTTGTAAGAACAACCCCCTATGCTTGGTTTTTTTTATTTTCAAAAAAGTAATAATTAGGCCCCCTGCCTCTTTTATTCAGTCCTGGAGAAGTTTACAGATACACAAGAGAGCACTATGTTGCCAAAGATACACTGAATGCACTGCGCATCCACAACACGGTGTGTTTTCTATTAACAAGGTGTACATGTGCTTTCAACGCGTGAGATTCAGAACATTGTGGATGTTAAGAGGAGCTAGAGGGATTGTTCTTGTCTCTTAAGCCAAGGTCTCAGTGTGTATTACTTCTGAATACCATAACAAGAACAAGGATATACATTAACTGCTGGACTTTTAACCGGCAATAGAAGTTTGTAAAGATCCCTATCGATATGTGGTTACAATAGCAGACACACAAGTTAAGGTCAGGCCACGGTTTCCAATGACATTCACAGGGACCGAGGATAATGGAAGAGGGAGACGAGCGCCTTGGGAACCTTCCGGGGACGACGAGTCGCTCACTGTGGAAGAGCTTTGAGGATTGCGTTCACTTCTTCCGCAACTGCCGTCAACGCAAACTCAAACTGTTCCTGTAGATAGAACAGTCGGGATTAATGTTCTGGAGCATTTCCAGGAATCCTGGTGAAACATTTAGCAAAATATCTAGGGACTAACTGTACAGAACAGAACAACAACAACAAAAAAGAGGCAGAGAAGAAAATGTCCTGAGATTAAGATTATAGACTCAATGTGTGCCCACCATGTGGCTTAATCACTGCAGCTCAGAGTTAACTACAAATAACTCATCAGCACCATTAGTAATGCTAGCTATTAGCCTACATGAATGGCCTGTGAGCAGTGATCAACCTGGAAATCTTGCCAGTTTGTATGGGAAAATTGGACAGCAAAGCATAGGAAACAGGGAGAGTAACATAGGAAACAGGCCTCAGACCTAACATAATCAACAAGACACGTTGTGTATTCCTTATATATACATATACACGATCCTCTCTTTCTTTGAGAGAATGAGAGCAGCCCACATGGGACTCCCAATTATTTATTAATTTATTATTGCATTTATATCCCACCTTTTTATTGAAGGAACTCAAGGTGGCGTACATGGCTCTCCCCATTTAATCCCCACAACTGCCATGTGAGGTAGGTTAGGCTGAGAGGCAGTGGGCTGGTCCCAAGACCACTCAGTGAACTTCATTGCCAAGTGGGGATTTGAACCGTGATCTCCCAGGTTGTAGACTGACACTCTTAACCACTACACCACAAGGACTTTCCCTCCACCTGAGATACAAAGCACACCCAATGCACATTTTAAACACATGACTTTCCCCAAAGAATCCTGGGAACTGTGGTTTCCTTCCCACGGAGCTATAATTCCCAACAAACTACAGTTCCCAGGATTCTTTGGGGGGGGGGGGAGCTATGTGCATTGGGTGGGCTTTAAACATGTAGTGTAGATCTGCCCCCACACTCCTAGTTTCAACACCGGGTGATTATAGAACAGGGCTGAGGAAACTGTGGTTCTCCAGATATTTTTGGACTGCAACTTCCACCAACCATACCCAGCATGGTCAGTGGTCAGAGCTGATGGGGAGTTCCCCATCATCTGGAGGGGGCGTTCCCAGCCCTCTTTTAGGCCAATTATTGTGCAACTGTGTCACAAGATTTTCAGAGGTTTTACTACTTACACTCTGGGAAATGCATGCTAGCAGCTCACTTCCAAGATTCTACAGTGGTACCTCGGGTTAAGTACTTAATTTGTTCCGGAGGTCCATACTTAACCTGAAACACTTCTGTTCTCATCCTGAAGCAAAGTTCTTAACCCGAGGTAATATTTCTGGGTTAGCGGAGTCTGTAATCTGAAGCGTATGTAACCTGAAGCGTATGTAACCCGAGGTACCACTGTACGTGTATGCATTTAATCAGATGTGCCTGTCTATCCTTATCACCAGGATCCAGATGTACATAACATAATCACTAAAAAATTTACAACCATAATTGAGAGACTACTTGGAAACTATAAATGCACTACCCTGGGTTTCGTAACGGAAGAAAGTGGGATATAAATTTAAGGAGAAAATGTGTGTTCATTTTATGTGGATTGTTAAGTGTCTCCCCTGTAACCCCTAGACCCTAAATATAGGGAAGACAGTCATGATTAAAAACAGCAACAAACATATTGAAAGGGATCATTTCCACTGACCAGTGAGCTATGAAAACATGGTGCAGTGTCTGCTTGTAAACCCAATGTCACTGCTGTTTATTTTGCCTAGAGATACACACTCTAATTGGCATTTCTATCCTGATTTTTAATCCACTGTTTTAAATTACTGTAAGAGGCTCATCCCTTATTTGTATTCAGCTGGGAGAGAACATGGTTTGTTTAAATCTATCACATGTACAAAATTCTCTGGAGACTGCCCATTACTGGCTCATAGCCAAATATTTAGAGTTTGCAGTGTCCTTGGCACAACAAAGTAATTTGGGCAATTTTAGAAGGGGATGAATAGTTAAAAGGAAGGTGAGCAAAACCTTGAATCCATTTTTTTTTATACCAGATCATCAATAACTTTAGCCTGATACTATTGAAGTCCTTTCAAATACATTTTTTAAAAAAAGCTTTAGCCCAGAGCCGATCTGTGACTACATGCAAAACGTAAATGAATAGAATAAATCAGAATTCTAGATCATACCCTAATTGTGCTCTTAGACATTTTTTTAAATTGTTGGGTTGGATCCAATGGCTGCCTGAGCAGAAAACAGCCTGCACAATCAAACTTTCTCCTCTCCACTCTTGGAAAAGCCATTCCAGAGAGTTGGGTCCCCACTCTGAACAGGATGGGCTGTGTTGTATAGGTCTGCTGCAGAAGGTGGGGGAGAATACCTGAAACTGGGTGGTGGAGTCTTGCAATTTCACACAATCCCTCCAGTCTACTACAGTCCTATACAACGGAGCCTACAATCCCCAACCACCCTCTGGAGAAGCTTTATGAAGGCTACAGGGCTGCAGAGGAGAAGAAGTGGACAAGAAATTTGAGTTGTGCAAGTGGTCTTCTACTTGTCTAACTAACACACACAACCTTCAAAGAGGATTACTGGAACGTGTATCTCCCATCGTAGCACAACTTTACATTTACTTATTCAATTTGTGTAAATAATCTATTATTACATAACTTTATTATTTTTATTTCAACCTGTTCTGTCTCCCTAGCGGTGGTTTTTCCTATCAAAATCACTTTTGGAAGTGATAATGGCTTGGATCCTGACTTCCATTAACATACTTCCTACTCAAATAATGGAGCTCTACTGCCTTCCACTTCCCACTCTAGTCCCTTCCCAACTTCCAAAAACCTGCTCTTGAGGATTAGGGAAACCTTCGGAACAGCATGGGCTATGGCCCTAGCAGGAAGAAGAAATAAGTAAAAACAGGAGGCCCACACTTGTATAAGCAGAAGTGTCATGGCATGAGAAGAAGGAACTTTTAGATCCAAGCCAATACATACCTGGTACTATATTACTCCTGTGGCCTAGTAGTACTTCTACTTAAGACTTCTAACTTTTTTCAAACGTATGATTTCTTTGATATATTCCATCAACTTAATGTTTAACCTATTTTGTCCTAATTTGAGAATCTTGTCTCGAGAGCCAGTGTGGTGTAGTGGTTAAGAGCGGTAGACTCGTAATCTGGTGAACCGGGTTCGCGTCTCCGCTCCTCCACATGCAGCTGCTGGGTGACCTTGGGCTAGTCACACTTCTCTGAAGTCTCTCAGCCCCACTCACCTCACAAAGTGTTTGTTGTGGGGGAGGAAGGGAAAGGAGATTGTTAGCCGCTTTGAGACTCCTTAGGGTAGTGATAAAGCGGGATATCAAATCCAAACTCTTCTTGAACTCCAGCCTTCTTGCTAAGTATGCTTGATGAACCCTACCATTCAGATAACGGTCACTATATTTTCCGTGAACTTGCATTATTTTTTTAGGAAGTAACCTATCCTTGAAGATTAGGAAAGTGTTTTCTTCTGAACACACATTTTCTTTAGTCATCTAAAGATTGCTATATTTAACATTTCAATCCAGATCAAAAGTAAGAATTTTCAGAAGAAAAAGCAAACACAAAAGAATGCACTTTGTGTTAAATTGTGCCCTATCCTCCTTTTCTTTTGGGAGAACGAAAGCAAAGTATTAAGGTCTTTAACCCAAGTGGATTTATTGACAGTACCTTTGTCTGGACCATGCCAGGTCTCTGGTCTCTCAAGTGCTCCAGAGTAGCAGCAATATCAATCTCTTTAGCACCTGCCGGAAATAAAAATAAAATAAATCACCAATTGGACTGAGTTCAAAGTGATGATAATATATGCTCCATCTGTCAATCTCCTGCTACTGGATTCCCTTTGGGCTACAAGCCCAATTGAAAATTATACAGTCATCTCTCAGCAGACTTGGCATGCTGCTCAAGAATTGGCATTCAGAAACTCAGGAAGAATAAAGCCAAGGGTAGCTTTGATTAGCATTAGTTATTTTTTTGAGAGGAAAAAAATGATAAAGAATCGTTAAAAGATGTCTGTATTGATGCTGACAGGCAGCAAAATGCATTTATTGACAATTAAGTCAGTGTTTCAAACTCATTCGTAAATGTATATATTGGGGGTGTGAACTGGCCTCAGGATTCATTTTGAATCTGTGCTTTAACCCCCCCCCCAATCTGTTCCTAGGTTGCTCTTGTCTGTCTGTGATTTGAGTCCTGAGCCACTCTGTTTATAACAAGATTTGTGTTCCACATTCACTCTCTTGGCAAAAGTGGGTAAAATTTGCAGGCACAGAAGCTCCTCAAGAGTAGATCAAGGCTGCCAGATAGGCAGACAGCTGTAGGGCCCCCCCCCCCGCATGGCACCTTTAAAGTTTATTTTAAAAAACCACACACACAGGAAGGTTCTGTATTTTTTCATTTTCTGCCATTGGACTAAAATACTAAAATCCATTAGATTAATATTTTTGAGTGGGGGCTTGTGTCTTGATCTTTTGTAACTTAAAATAATTGCAAGGTGGGCATTGTACCAATATTCTTGCTTGTACATTTTTTAAGAACATGAGCAGCCAGTTTAACTTTCTGGTGCTTCCTTTTGTTTTCATATAGGCACTATAAGGTAAAGCTGCCTCAAATGTAGTTTGCAGAATGCTGATGAGTTAAGGAGATTATATATATATATATAATCTCCAAAAAGAGCAGTAAAAGTTTTTTTTAAAAAAAATGTTTAATGACTTGAGAACTATTCTCCCTGTTGTCCTCGTTCCAGGATTCAAGATCATATCTGAAATTAGGGTCTTGTCTTTTTTTTTACCACAGTGAGGATCCATTTATGCTTACATTAAACCATTATTTTTCAGTAGTGATCTTTGCTTTGCTTTGTTAAGGCTATTGATTTGCCTAGCACTGTCTCAGTTTCTCTTGTCGTGCCTTTCCATGTGGCCTGGGGGTGTGAAACGCACAGACTAAACTGAAGACTCATAAGATCCTACATAAGAAACTCTCACCACTCACATTGTGAACTATACAAAACACCACACACAGAAAAGTAAATAAATATTTGCGGCGGATTTACACAACCAGTTTAAGTGTAAGATTGCAATGCAAAGTGGTAACTTCTTTTCTTGCTGTGGTTTTTTTTTTAAAACACCATATAGTTAGCACGCGAAGGGAGAAGATTCTGTGAGTTGTGTTAAGCGTTACTGAATGAAGCTACCAAAGTGGACTGGATCCTATTTTGCTTGGCGGTCAGGGAAAGAAACTACATTCATAAATGTAGATTTAAGCCCTCTTTCCCCTTGTGTGGTAGGGAAGCAAGAAGTCTGGCATCAAGCAGCTGGCACAGGGATTACCGAATCTCAGGAGGATTAACAATTCTGGCCTGTAGGAGGGTCACCAGAATTGTATGCTGTGTAACCACATGGTGCTTTCAGGACAAAGCCTACAAAATTCTGAGTGACGCTCACTTTTAGTAATGTGGAACATTCAACAGGAGCTAGTTACTCCTTTAGTGTGGGATATTCACTCTACTTTAGCCTCAGCTGTTGCAAGGATAAAGTAGGATGATCACATATATTCCTTCCTGAGCTTCTTGGAGGAAGAGTGAAATGCAAAATTAAATTAAAAACCAATTAACATAACCCCAGATGGGCAGACAAAACTATGGGTTATAAATTGTTCCAAGTTTCACAATAAATCAGTCATAGATATGATATGCAGAAGATATTATTAGGATGGGAAGACAATGTAGGAAGAAAAATGCTAGGATATTAATGCCTTTGACGTTACATCAGTGGGGTGGGAGCTGTAACATTTAAAGGCCCGGTACCACATGAGCGGGACCATTTGCAATGGTTCTTTCCACCCAGTTGTAACTCCTGATGTGCATGATCAGACCCTTCCATATGTTGCTGAGCCTTTAAGTGGTGCTGCAGCAACGTGGGATGAACCTAAATGACTTACCATAATACCACTGTTGTAAAGGCTACCATTTAAACTTTTTATTCCTACTTTGTTTACATATAAAGTTCACGTTGAAATGAATGGCAGTACAAAAGGCCCAGTGAATTACCTACTGCTCAGGTTGTATTAAAACTACCTGTTTCTTTTTCAAAGAAATTGTCAAATGTAGCAGCAGAGAGTACACCTAGCAGATGTGGTGCTGGACTCAGAAGACTTGGATTTCAATTAATTCCCAGCTAAGAGACCGATCTTCCCATGTCACCCTGAGGCACTGACTTAATCTGCATTTCAGACAGCTGCAGAGTAATAATCCTAGGTGGGAACAACCAAACAAGCTCTGCTGTCAACACCACAAGTTTTAGCTGAATAATTTGAGGTTTTTTTAAATGTTTTTTGAATAATTGGGGGGGGGGAATGGGAAATTTTATTTATAGAAGCATTTTGGTTTAACCCTCATGGTCTGGGTGTGTTTATAATATACCCATTTGCAGAGGAAGAAGCGATACTGAGGGAACGCTAATACCTTCCATGTTCACACATTTGTATCATACCCTTCCTTCCAGGAGCTTATGGTAACGTAGAAGAGGTTGAGAGATGGTGGAAGTACTCAACTGGAAGTGAGTGTTCCGGTTTGTGAACGTTCTCTGGAAGCCAAATGTCCGACGTGGCTTCCGATTGTGTGCAGGAAGCTCCTGCAGCCAATCGGAAGCTGTGCCTTGGGTTGTCGAACATTTTTGGAAGTCGAATGGACTTCCAGAACGGATTCCGTTCAACAACCAAGGTATGACTGTACATTGGAATCATAGAATTGTAGAGTTGGAAGGGGCTTTGTTGTTTGTCTCCTACAATTTTTACACATAAACTCTCAATCTTCCTTCCGTGCTACAGGTCATGGATTTCTTCACAAGTGTACACACCCTTTACGTATAATCCTACTTTCCCTCCCTTACTGTTTGGTCTATTTCTTTTGAGCAGGTTATACTCCTCAGTTCTTACATTCTAGTCATGAGTCTCATCTCACCAGGTTTCAGTAATGCCTGCTAGGTATATTTGCCATCCTATATTAACGTTCCAATTTGTCTTGCTTGTTTCCCATACTTTGTGCATTAGTATAGAGATAACTGAAATCATGAGTCATTCCCTCCAGCCGCTTACTTCTTGTAGTTTCTTGCCCTTTGGCAGGTTTCTGGAGCACCACCTCAGTTTTCTGTGCACCAGTGAAGCTATTATCCCTAGTACCATATGTTCTTCTGCTGTCAGTAATGTTGTCTCTCTCCCTCAGGATCTAGTTTAAAGCTCTCCTGAGCAGGTTCATGAGACTCTTAGCAAACACATTCTTGCCAACTACTGTGATCTGTGGAGAAAAACTACTTTAGGAGCTTTGGCTACTTCTGTAGTGAAAAGGAGCGTGAACTATGGCATGCAGGCCTCAGAAACTAGTAAAATGTCAATATGGTCAGCTGGTACAGCTCCTGAACTCTCATATGCTCATCTTATTTTGAGCCCTGTTTCTCTACTCCCTAGTCCCCTTTTGAAGCAGAGAAATATATTAAAACATTACATATATATTTCAAGTTTACATAATTTGTTCCCATTTATGTAATGGAGTTTTCTGCTTGAAGACTTTGGAGTATTTTGGTGCAAATATTTCTATTAAAATACTTTTGTATGTTGGAGAATAGGCTGTTAATTGGATCCTGCTGCCATTTGGTGCTCCTTAATGGCTGTAATAACAGGTATTATGTCAGGTTTCAAGTTGGTGAAGATCCTGCGGAATGACCTTTATTTTACTCAGGTTTCACAACACATAAAAGCTGTGCTAAGTTGGGCAACTGGCTGGTTTTCGGGCACCTCTAACATTCACAGAGCACTTCCTTTGGGGGTGAATTAAGTTACAACCAAATCCTGTTCTAACAGCTTTAGGGTGCTTTGAAAATGCTACATTCCATGTGGAACTTAAATATGCATAGAATTTATTTTTCCACATTTGTGTTGACTAAAAACATTTGTTTCTTGATAAATATAGCATTACTTGGCTAGCCCTTTCATGTAGATCTTCATTATCAGTATGCTTTGAAGCAGCCCACCCAACTCCTGCTGCGAGACAAGCAAGTACATTCATACGCCACAAAACTGAGAGCCCTTAAAAGGTCTGGATTAAGCAAGAAGATCACTAACTCAGGCCAATTCTGAGCTGCGTCAAATGTCAAACTTAATTAACAAACATAACGCTATACAGAAATTTTTCACTGCTCCATTTTCTTCCTTACAGCTACCATGAAAGCTAGCAAGAAGAATCCCATTTAGGATATGCTAACCACACAACAAACAAAACAAAATACACAGAATGCCCAGGAAATTATAAAACAAAATTCCGAAGCATTAATTTAAAGAGTCCGTCATAAAACATGCCATTCTGAGCTCAGTTCTATGCTCTTTTGAAACTTAACTATGGATTAAGACAGATATTTCGATGAAAATGCTTGCTTCCTTCTCCAATCTTTTGTATGGCTGTATCTTTAACAGGCGGGACGCGGGTGGCGCTGTGGGTAAAACCTCAGCACCTAGGACTTGCCGATCGTCAGGTCGGCGGTTCGAATCCCCGCGGCGGGGTGCGCTCCCGTTGCTCGGTCCCAGCGCCTGCCAACCTAGCAGTTCGAAAGCACCCCCGGGTGCACGTAGATAAATAGGGACCGCTTACTAGCGGGAAGGTAAATGGCGTTCCGTGTGCTGCGCTGGCTCGCCAGATGCAGCTTGTCACGCTGGCCACGTGACCCGGAAGTGTCTCTGGACAGCGCTGGCCCCCGGCCTCTTGAGTGAGATGGGCGCACAACCCTACAGTCTGTCAAGACTGGCCCGTACGGGCAGGGGTACCTTTACCTTTACCTTTTTATCTTTAACAGACAACACACAATTTCTACTGGCGGTGTCTGTTATTTACCTCATAAATACAACTATGTTTTGCATGCAGAAATGTTGCCTGCATCCTCTACAAACTTGTCTCTTCTGTGACTTCAGTCCATGAGATTTCTTATTTCCAAATTGATTACTATTTCAAACTTATTGATATCAGCTCATTCTTTTCAGAATCTTCTAAAGCTCTGGAAGTCTTTTTTCTCCTTCTAAAGATATTGACTGTGTGTGATCAATTCAAAGGTCCCAACCCTGAATAAATGAGGCAGTTTTTATAGTTTCTGCTGTTAACTCTTCCATTCTAAATACCACAGGGCTGGGGGAAAAATCTCGATTATTAACAGAAATAAATAAATAAATGAAAATAAATAAATAAATTGTTTTGCTTACTTCCAATGAAAAGAAATTCTTGGATAACTGTTCAAGGAGGTATCAACTCCTTGCAGTGCACGATCCAGCTCCTTACTCAAATGGTTCTATTTTGCTTAAGTTGTCTATAATGTTTGGAAGTCTGTGTGTGCCTACAAATTTCTCTACTGGAACCTGCGACTATTCATCTAGGTGAGTCACGTCACATAGGGCTTTGGAAGCACCACTATGAGCTGATCAGCAGTTCTGCAAAACCTTCTCTTGTCCAAACTGTATCTTTACATATTCCACATCTGACATCACATAACATCATCAACAACAAATTATTTATACCCTGCCCATCTGACTGGGTTGCCCCAGCCACTCTGGACGGCTTCCAACATACATAAAACATAATAAAACATAATACCTTAATAAGTTTCCCTATACAGGGCTGCCTTCAGATGTCTCCTAAAGGTTATATAGTTACTAATCTCCTTGGCAAAGTAAAAGTAAAGGTAAAGGACCCCTCGATGGTTAAGTCCAGTCCAAAATCGACTATGGGGTATGGCGCTCATCTCTGCTTTCAGACCGAGGGAGCTGGCGTTTGTCCACAGACAGCTTTCTGGGTCATGTAGCCAACATGACTAAACCATTTCTGGCACAACAGGACACTGTGACAGAAGCCAGAGCGCACGGAAGCGCCGTTTACCTTCCCGCGACAGCGCTACCTACCTATCTACTCACACTGTTATGCTTTCAAGATGTTAGGTTGGCAGGAGCTGGGACAAAGCAATGGGAGCTCACCTGGTCATGCTGATTTGAGCTGCCGACTTTACAATTGGCAAGCCCAAGACAAGACACTTGGCGGTTTAGACCACAGCACCACCTGCATCCCTGCTCATTTCCTTGACATTTGATGGGAGGGCATTCCACAGGGTGGGTGCCACTACCGAGAAGGCCCTCTGCTTGACATCAGGTGTTGGATAGGTGGGCTTCGCTTCGCTGAAATGGCCTTGCTGCTTTAACCCATCTGAAAAAGACTACCATGTTTTTGAACTCGCTGGGAGTATTCTCTAAAAGCATGCTTAAAAAATATTAAATAGTCTTTATCAGTTAAAAACTAAAACTGTCTTCTTCCATGTTTGCATTTGAATACGGCTTGAGGCACAGTTTTAACTGTGGTTGACTATCTGTTGAAAAAACTTGCCGCAGCCAACAATACTGCATAATTGTGTTAAACTAGCTAACTCCATCGTCAGTTAACATTACATTAAAAGCAGCTCACTCACATAATGCCTTTGTAAATATATAATAAGATTTTGTTGAACGCAAAGAGCTATTTTGACAAAACTGCAGCCGCAGTATTTCAGAGAACATAGAGTGTTCTTACTTGAAATGACCTAAAATTGGCTTGTGAAAAATATGCCTAAAAATGAAAGCAAGATTCAGGCTGTTTCTGGTGCTTTCACTTTTTTCCTCCATCGGATAACTGACTGGGTCTAATGAGCTACAAAGTTCAAGGCTTAGTGATTCAATAAAATTCAAAACCTAGAAGGCAAGACAGCTACTTTTTAGAACAGAAGACTTTTCTCCTTCTTTGTGGGCTTCTCAGTAATTATGTCTCTGTGCCAACCCACTCATATCCTTTGAACTATCAGATCAATAACACTGCGTATTTTCCCCAGAACTACATTGTAAAATATGGCAATAAGAAAGGCCTATGCAGATATTTATTTGGAAATTGGATCTCGGAAGCAAAAGTTACATTGTTGGAAGTTACATTATTTCAGATTTATAAAACTCTGTAAATTAATGATATTTCCACTACAACATTACTGATTCACAATTTTAATTAAGCCAACACACGTGGGACAAAAAGCAGCATAGAAACATATTATTGAGCTTAACTGGATTGCAGACTTGTGAATCAGGCTTGTAAACACGGCTCCATATTGCTTCATGAAGCTCAAACATGGGTGGAAAGAAATAAGGTATACAGGAATTATGCAAGATTTCATTTTTTTTAGTATGTGAGCATAGCTCTGTTCTTATGCTTGAACATTATATTGTAAAGTACAGTATGTGTTTTTAGCTGTAAGTTCTGTGAGATTTCACAGGGCAAAACAAGCAAAATACATAAAACAACCCCAGTTTATAAATTGAGGAAGCCGCAAGCGATGACTGAGAGTGAACATCACTTCACATTTTTATGCTACAACCCTATATGCATTTGTCAGGAAGAAGCCCCATTGAACATAGTGGGATTTATTTTTATGCATTGCATTGTAGTAGTTTTATTTTAGTTAGAAAGGACAGCAAAGTACTTGCAGGAAATGGGACTTTTGAGGAAAGATTTAAGAAGAGAGAGAAGGGGTACCACATGGGTTTTATGGGAGAGAGTTCTAGGAACGAGGACAAAGATAACATGGTACGCAACTTAAGTTTTACTCAGAATAGATCCACTGAAATGAACGTGACTTAAGCTAGGTCCATTGATTTCAATGGATCTGCTCTGAGCAAAACTTAACTAAATACCACTCAGTGACTCTGAGTGTCAGGGTCTCTTCACACTGCCTTTTATTCCATCATCACAGCTGCAGGCCTGATTTATCTTCCAGTTTTGTAATGTGTACTCTTTCCTAACTCCCATTTATTTCAAGGTGGTTGCATAGGTAGCATGGACTGTGCCCTCAGTATTCATGGCAGACTGCAGAAAAAGAAAAGTGGTGTGGGAAATTTGGTATGAAAAGTCTTCCTCCTCACTCCACCCCCCCCAATAAAAAACCAACACTTAATGATTACAATGGTAAAGAATGGCACTTCAGACCAAATGTAACTTAATACATGAAATGAAAAGACCACGATGTAAATAAAAAGTGCATCATAATTCATCTGAAGTGTGCACACATACATATGTTCCGCACCTCTGCCTCACAGAGAGTTGCAGCAAATCCTTCATGATGTTGTATGAGGCCAAACACTCCACAACTGCATTATGCAGCTGTTTGAATAACAAAAGGAACTAAGGGCCTGGAATGTATGTTCCCAGCACAGCTCTCCTCCCGCCATCATGAAATCTGTAAATATACCCTCTTGCTACACAACACGCAGAACAAAAACACCTGAAACACTTAATATTAGCGGCAACTATTATTGGAGTACCACTGTGCTAACCATTTATATTAAGTGAAGCTGAACCTCTGGTTAGAAGAAAAACTGGACAAATGAGAAACTCATGAAATCGTAACTTCAGTATCAAAACTGGGAACTGAAAACAAACAAACCCCAAACCCACTGGATTTCCCCCTCCCTCTTAAAATTCCGTAAGATCATTTAAAATGTGATTTTTCTTGTTTTAAATCAAAGGAAGGATTAATAGCAGAAAATACGAACTTCTAAAGTACTGAAATACAAGCATCGGTGCCTTGTACAGTCAGCTAGGGGAAACTGTTTTGAACACAGAAAAGTAAATTATGTGAAAAAGGAGTCCCTTTTCCTAAACATGTGCTATTTAAAGAGCTACTGAAGAGCCAAAGCATCTTACTGATTGCTTTTCACTTTCCCACTGCTGAAACTAAGTGGTGCTGTATTTACTTTGATTTTAAAATCCATTATTGCCTGCTTTCTAATAAAGCAGAGTGTGGAACAAGAACTCAGATTACTCTTATTCATAAAAGTCCTTTAAAAAAAAAAAAGAACACAAAACCTGAAGGCCTTAATCCTTAAAAGCACCCCCCCTTTCCCTAAAACATGTTAGCAGATGCTGTCCTTGCAGCTGGCCCTAGACTGAAAGTGCACTTACATTTTTATGTTTAGAACTGAAGGACTCTAAAGTTAGTGTTTGCACCACAGAAAAAGCAACGGCAAGGGTATTCATTGGTACTTGTGCAATTCATTCTTTAAGAAAAGGAAATGGAAAGAAAGATTTCATGTCCTGGACTTCAGGCCTTTGATCATTTGATGAGCGCTGGATTCTCAACCTGGGCCTCAAACTTCTCAGGCCAGACAAAGGAGGGCTAGGCCTCACAGACCGGTCCCTAGATTCCTGTCAGAACAAAAACTTTGGCTGCCTCACAGTGTGACAGCCTGGGAAAGGCCCACCTCAGCAGGGCTGAGATGCCCGCTCTGCCCTTTGATCTTTCATTTAAACTGCCCAAAAGCGCCAGGTCAGGGATTTCAGACTGCACACCCCCAATGGCAGAGGGGTGCAGGTCAAGAACAAAATGGGGCTGACCAATCTGAAAAACCCTGCAACTCTTTTCTTTAGCCAGTTTCACATGACTTGTCTTGCATTGTGCCACACTAAGCCCACACTTAAAATGGAATTTGACATTACATGGTACAATGGAGTCAGTAAATGGCATTCTTTAGAGCTCTTGTAACAAAGTCAACCTTTCCCTTAAGTGGTTGAAAGCTCGAAGCTAGAAAATACTACTTGTTTACTATTCTGTGAAGAAAACAGTATGTATTTTGCAGTTTTGCTTTCATTGCAACCTCTGATGGAAAAATGGAATGAGCTTAACAAAAGTCTAATAAATGTGGCATGTCTGCTCCCTCCCTCAGCTCAATAACTTTGATACAGGCAGAACAAGATGCCACTTGCAATTCAAATGTTCCAAGCAAATGAAATGCCTTTTTTTTTTTTTGCACAAATGGCAAAAGATCCTCAGTGAACTGTTTCATTTTGTTTTTTAAGGGGAAAAAATTATAACGTAGTGCAGCGCACAGAAAACACAGTCATACCGGACAAGGCATACATGGCAAGGTCAAGTTGCCGAAACCAAAAATGAAGACAACGCCCACATTCTCAAATAATAACATAGCCACCAGTATTTCAAACATGAAAATAAGAGACATCCCTATGTATAGATAAGCTCAGAGGCATTGCCTAATGGACAAAAGGTAGATGAGACCCTTTTAAGACAGGACACACACACACTTTGTGCATAACGCTAAAGCAAACCGTTGCTAAGCATGAACACATGATTGTTTGGATACTTGGCTGCTTTGCGACCCCTCAGTCCTCCTGCTGCTGTGCAACCCATTAAAAATCCATGATTTGGCTTTGTGCCACATCTGATCCTGGGTTCATAGTTTGACTCACACTAGACAATCCAGGCCACCCTACAGGGAGGACTGGGGGAGGCCATGATTTCTGCTGTGACATCTACATGTTCGCACTTAACTATAGTTTGGCTCAACATTACACGTGAACTGGGCAGCAGACAGGGCACAAGAAACAAAGAGGGCACAAGACAAAATTCACTCACATGGCACACAAAGGTACGCTATATATCCCACCTTAATGGTGTAATCCTGTGCACGTCTCTTAAAAATTAAGTCCTGTGGAATGGGACTAATTTCCAGGCATGTATAGGAGGAGATTTTTTTGGGGAAACCCCATATTCTAGATCATCTGGTATCCTAATCTTTCAGCATCATTGGAAATAAGGCAAAAAGCACTGTAAATATGTTAAGATGCATTATTTATGATTAAGTCATGTTGTTGGGTGCCCTGCTATGCATTACTTTTGATATATGCAGAATTTCTCATCACACAAAGCAGTCTTTGATGAGTAGTTCTGTGAAACCAAAGACTTCATAGTGCTGCATCTACAAAGTTGAGCCGATGAGAGGTTTTTTTAATGTTTAAACTATCTGAAAAAGTGTGCTCGGGGAGGGGGTGATTTTCAGATAATGCAGGTTAGATTTCTCAGCAATCAAACTACAGTATTCCGTAAGCAACTCAAGCGCAATCTCTCTTCCTTCAAGGGTTTCAGAGTAGCAATATGTAGAGCAAACCACTCTTGGAACTGTGAAATCAAAGAGGAAACCAACATTCTTTGAAAGACTATAGTGATGAAACACTATAGTTTGGTGAGATACCGTCACGCCTCCGTTTCACTAAGCGTAGATTATTCTAATCTATGACTTTACCACATGGTGATGATGCCTGAACTTTTCCCACATGAGAATCTGTGGCAGAGAAAAATTACACACTGTTCAGGGCAGATTGGCTGGGGAAACCCAGCCAGATGGGTGAGGTATAAATAATTTCAAAAATGTTATTGTTGTTATGGTATTCTTATTAAATCTGGCCCTAATAGTTAATTTACAGAAAAAGACAGTTATGTACATTTAAAGTAATATACTTTGTCAATCTCAAACTTTTAGTGGCATATAAATATACTTTTGTCATCTTCATTGCTTCGGCCTCAGTGAAATGATCATCAGTGATAGGTCTTGCATCATTATGAAGTGGAATAGATTGAGATTGCAGAGTTCTATGTTCAGCTTTGTAGGCAATTTTTCTTATGCTGATTCCTAGGGCTTCCAGCTAATATAAGAGATGTTCGGGGATGAGGTGGGGAGACTAAGCATCAGTGGCTTCTTTAAAGGGGCAATGATTAGACTGTTTTCCTTAGGGCAGAGGCCTGTAAACTGGTTCTGCCCAGGCCACTTGGAAAGTAAATAATGGGAACTTCACTATTTCAGTGCAAAATTTGGACACAAAGTTCATTATCAAGAGCAGGCACCCTAACCTTTGGCCCTCCAGATGTTTTGGACTACAGTTGCCATCATCACTGACCACTGGTCTAGTTAGCTAGGGATCATGGGAGTTGTAGGCCAAAACATCTGGAGGGCCACAGGTTGGGGATGCCTGATCAAGAGCAACCCAGGTATGAATAAAAACAGCTTTCCTTTTTCTGCTAACTGCAGGATATGGTTTATAGTATTTTATTGCTACAATTTGTTTTCTCATACATTTAATGGCTAGAGCATTTAAGAAAATAATTTGCTTTACTGGAAAGAGTCTGGTATGGGGCATAATAGAGCTCCATATTGAGCTGTTTAGATGCTGACTGTAGAACACACCACCCCCCACCCCCCTGATGATACCCAACTAAATCATGTTCAGGGTCTGGTCATGAGTAAAAACAGGAGATCACCCTATGGTTTTAACACTACTTGGTATTTATTAGCACATATGTTATTACTTAATATTATGGTTCTCGGCATAAAGTAACTATTAGCCGCATCATTATCTGCTATGATGAATTGGACTGCATTTCTACAGCCTAAGGTGTAATACAAATCACTGAATACTCCTAGAATCAGTTGTTAATTCCTATACATGCCTTGGAGGTGCAGGTATCATTGGGAAGAATATAGCATTCCTCTCAACATAGATATCCAATATGCGGTAAATATATAAGCCGTTGATTCTCCTTTTAGTATTTAGAACTACTTACCTCCTATCACACAAGCTAAGCTATCAGAAAGCAAGCAGCTAATCTCATTCAACACTATTTTAGACATGCTTGCAAGCTTAGGCGTGCCCACCTGATTCTGCCCCCCCCCCCAATTTTTTTAGTTAAATACCATATCCCCGTGTCATGTCATAAACTGCTTTTGAAAGTCCTCTCAATTTATTTATTTTTTAAATAATATTTATTGATAATTTCAAAATTACAAGAATAAGAACAAATAAAAAACAACACTACAATACAAAAAGGAAAAAAAAGACAAGCAATTAAAAAAAAAGAGAAAAGCACAAAATATGAAAAACATGAAAAACCAATACGACAATACAACAAAAGAAAGTAAAAAAAGAAGAAAAAAGAAAAAAAACACACACAAATCCCAAATTGCATATCCATAATTTCCATTTGCTTGTTTCATTGACCTCCTCACACCTCCGTTTTTGTGTTCTAGTTTAGTAATTATTTCAGCAAATTCTTTCCATCTTTCTCAATTTTTGTTATAAAATTTATCTTAACAATTTAACCTAATAGTTAACTCAACAAATCCTTACCATCTTTCCCCATATTCTGTTATTCAAATTACCTTAATTTATTTGACCTTATCTTACCCCTAAGTGCCTTAAGACTTAAATCTTAAATTTCAAATATACATAGCTCCTAATATCATTTCTGCTAGAGTCGTATAGTTTCATTCCCACATTTTCCCTAATATTCATTAGCTAATTCTAAAATAAAAAAATTCCATTATAAATTCTCTTTCAATCATCATCCAGCGTCTCTTCTTCCTGGTCACGGGTCATGTCAGTCCTTATTGTCCATTCCATCTAGTCCATCAACCTGGAAGCCTTATGTCCAAGGCCCTTAAATCTCTTCCATGTCCCTTCTGCAATTCTTCTTCATCTTGTTTGTGCTTGCCCTTTTCCTTGTCTTTTGTTGGTCTCTGTCTTAGTTTCTTTCCTTTCTCATTGAGGAGTAGGTCTCTGGGGGATTCCAACCCAAAATTATCTCCATCACCCTTCATCCAGCTCACCCGTTCCCCACAGTCCCACTCCCCACAGTCTTCGGTATAATCCAAAATGGATTTAAGATCAAATTTCAAGGTCTCTCCAAGGCTAGGAACCTCCTCATCTCCAGACTCCCCTTGGCCCACTCCAACTTCAATTTTCAAAAACAGCGGCTTATGCTCCTGTAGGGCCTTGGGTCTCTCCATTTGTACTATTTGAGGTGCAGCCGCATCCTCCTCCATTGTCATCTGCACTTGCCCAGTCAGTGCAGATTGATAGATTGGTTCTTGGATGATTTCTGTATCAATGTTATTAGCCATAACAGTCAAATCCATTTTCTCATTCATCAAGTCCATCCATCTTCTCATGCATCTGTTCCAACAAAGCATTTGTCTTGCATAGAGCAAGCACCCAGTCTGAAAGTCCCCTCAATTTCAAAGTGCATTGCCATGTAGCTTAAAAAGCTGCTCTTCAAGAAACTCTAGCTTAAAATCCCCATGGCCATGCAGAATGAGCTATGCTTTTCTGCCCGTGTGTTAATTAAGAGGCAATACAGAAGCTCTATTAAGAACATAAGAAGAGCCATCGGGCCAATGGGCCCACCTAGTCCAGTGTCCTGTTCTCACAGTGGCCACCCAGATGCTTGTGGGAAACTGGCAAGCAGGACCTGAGCACAAGAGCCTCTCCTCTCCTGCAACTCTCCTTTCCAGTAACTAGAATCCAGAAGCATTACTGCGTCCCAACTGTGGAGGCAGAGAATAGCCATTGTGGCTAGTAGCCATTGATAGCCTTGACCTCCATGACATTGCCCAATTCTCTTTCAAAGCCATCTAAGTTGGTGGCCATCACGGCTTCCTTTGGGAGCAAGTTCCATAGCATATGTGCTAGATGAAGAACATTTCTCTGTCCTGAATCTTCCAACATTCAACTTCACAGGGCGCCCATGTATTCTAGTGTTACGAGAGGAGAAAAACATCTCCCCTTTCCACATGCCATGCTTGGAACCAAAAGTGCTGCACCAACAAGTACAACATTACCCCTCTGTAGCACCACAAATCCAACTCAATGGTGTAACGTTGGAAATTGTCGATCACTTCTCCTACCTAGGCAGTTATCTTTCCACAAGGGCTAACATTGATGCCGAAATCCAATATTGCCTGAGCTCTGTGAGTGCGGCTTTCTCCCAACTGAAGTGCAGAGTGTTTGTGGACCAGGACATTCGCAGGGAAACAAAAATGCTTGTTTACAAAGCTATTGTACTACCAACTTTACTGTATGCTTGTGAAACATGGACCGCTTATAAATGCCATCTCCAACTTCTTGAAAGATTCGAAAGATTCCATCAACGGTGTCTCTGAAAAATCTTACACATCACTTAGGAAGACAGGTGAACTACTATCAGTGTACTGGATGAAGATCACCTGATTCTTCAACATCAATTTCGTTGGACTGGTCATGTTGTGTGGATGCCTGATTATCGTCTTCTAAAGCAACTACTCTATTCCAAACTTAAAAATGGAAAGCGTAATGCTGGTGGTCAACAAAAGAGGTTTAAAGACTGTCTCAAGGCAAATCTAAAAAAATGTAGTATAAACACTTGACAACTGGGAAACACTGGCCTGCGAGCGCTCCAGTTGGAGAACAGCCTTTACCAAAGATGTCATGTGCTTTGAAGACACTCAAGCTCAGGACGCAAGGGAGAAATGTGCTAAGAGGAAGGCACGGTTGGCAAATCCACACCGTGATCAACTCCCACCCGGAAACCTATGTCCCCACTGTAGAAGGATGTGTGGATCCAGAATTGGCCTCCACAGTCTCTTACGGACTCATTGTTAAAACCGTGTTCATGGAAGACAATCTTACTCAGCTATAAGTGATCGCCAAAGAAGAAGATGATGCCATGCTTAGCTTTATAAACTTCTATCATGTCACTTCTGACTCGCCTTTTCTCTAAACCAAGAAGTCTCCAATGCTGCAGCCTTTCCTCATATGAGAATTGTTCCTCATATGAGAACTGATGATTTTGGTTGGCCTTATCTGAATTCTTTCCAACTCTATGATTCTTTCCAACTCTATGATACCCACTGGTGAGGTGGCCAGAACTATACAAATGTGTTTGCACCATAGATTTGTATAACTGAATCATGATAATAGCAGTTTTGTTTTCCTTTCATTTCCTAATGATCTCTAGCTTTCTCACAGCAGCTTTGTCGCACTAGGTCAACATCTTCCATCAGTCACCACCAGGTCAGACCCCCTGAGTGTGAAATGTGAAATTAGGATTTTTTTGTGCATTGACATGCATCACTTTATAGTCAATTGCATTTGCCATTTTACCACCCATTCACTCAGCACTGAGAGATCCTTTTGGAGTTCTTCATAATCTCCCTTTCTTTTTCATTATCTTGAACTACTCGGTATCATCAGCAATCCTGGCCACCTCACTTCTCACCCCTAACGCTAGATCATTTATGAACATGTTAAAAAGCACAGTAGTGATCTCTTGGGAGAACTCCACATTCTGCAACTCTCCAGAGTACTATTCCTAGTCTCTTCTTCCTGCTACTTAATCAATTCCTGATGGACAAGGGAACTGCTATGCTAAGCTTACTCAGGAGTCTTCATTGAGGGATCTGGTCGAAAGCGAGTACACTATGTACCAAATGAAAAGTATTCACTCCTGGCTTAGCTTGGTTCCTACTGAAGTGTCTTGGGGGGGGGGGGGGAGAGTGTTTCTTACATTTATTTTCTTAAATTTATATCCTTCGTTAGTCATGGAAGGAATTACTGAAGAGTTGCAATCAATATCTAGGTAACATTGCAGGTATGCTTGGTCTTGAATTCTTAACACCCAGTGAAAGTGGCTTAGTGTGGAACATACCACTGTAGGCAACTATCTGCTGGTGCAACTGTCCTGGAAGCGTTTTTAAATGGTTATGCGTATACTACCTGGACAGTGGGACGCAGGTGGCGCTGTGGTCTAAACCACAGAGCCTAGGGCTTGCCGATCGGAAGGTCGGCAGTTCGAATCCACGTGATGGGGTGAGCTCCCGTTGCTCGGTCTCAGCTCCTGCCCACCTAGCAGTTTGAAAGCACGTCAAGTGCAAGTAGATAAATAGGTACCGCTCTGGCGGGAAAGTAAACGGTGTTTCCGTGTGCTGCTCTGGTTCACCAGAAGTGGTTTAGTCATGCTGGCCACATGACCCGGAAGCTGTCTGCGGACAAACGCTGGCTCCCTTGGCCTATAGAGCGAGATGAGCGCTGCAACCCAGACTGGACCTAACTGTCAGGGGTACCTTTACCTGGACAGTATTCCATTTCCATTCTACTGGAAAACCATTGTGAGAAGGGGAGGGGGTGAAGCAGCAAGGTTCCATCCTGCCCCTACAACCAGGCTGATGTCCAATCCTACTATAAGAGATGTTATGGAGCTCCACCTCTTATTGGGAGGCGCACCTGATGACATGGCCCAGCAGACTGGATTTGGTTGCAGGGTGCTAATTGCTGAGTAAGCGTGGAGCAAACAAGACATGAAGAATTCTGAACATTCCTCCCTGCTAGGCTGGTCCTGATCCCATGTCTAACAGAAGTATGACATGTAAAAAATCAGCATGTAAATCTTCCTAGCTTAAGAGTAAGTAGTGAGAAAAACTTCACTAGCACAATGTGTGTGAGAGAGAAAGAGAGAAAGAGAGAGAGAGAGAGAGAGAGAGAGAGAGAGAAAGAAAGAAAGAAAGAAAGAAATTGGTGGTGGTTGATGTTAAAGAGAAGCAAGAGAAAGGCCATAAAATAATGTTATATTGCTTAATGTAATAGAAACTCCCATGATCTAGTTGATGTGTTCTGCAGCTTCACCGGAATACTGTGGAAACTTCCTGACTGAGCAATCCAGTCATATAAGAGGAAAGGAGGAGGGGAGCATAAAGAGAAATATTTCAAAAAGGTCAAAATATTCTACTTGCTTATTTCAGTTTTCTGTCATCTTCAAAGCAAGAGAAGCCCTTGAACACAAATTACGGTCAGGTGAATGTCAACTGCTGCATACCACACAGAGAGTGAATGTAGGGCAAAACTAAATAAATATTTACTGCGTAGTTCATAACATTTTTTGCCAATAAAAGTTATGTAAATTTGTGAAAGTACAAATCCAACCACACATGTGTGAGATTCATTCATATAGAGCTCCAGGGGTTGAAATTTTGCTTCATTTTTAATCACTGTGGACATCGGAAAAACAAAATAAAAAAAGCCCCGAGAACATTCAGGCGAGGGTAAAATTTGCCTCTAATCTATCTGAGGCCCCTTTTGCGAATATTGCGCCTGCGTTGCCATGACAACGCCACCACATCTCAGAACTCAAAAAGCGACAGCACTTTCGATTCTCACCTTTGGCCATTTTATTGAGAACCATGTCAATTAGGATGTAGGTTCCACTTCTTCCCGCACCGTCACTACAGAGAGGGGGGGAGAGGGGGAAAAACAACAATAGCCCATGATCAATTCAACATGCTCAAAACCCCGACAGAAATGCGACGCTGGAAGTATAGTAGCATAAAGGGCTGAGTTGAGGTGGAAAGATGATATATGTTAGACAAGCTTTCTTTAACAAACTGTCCTCACAAGCTTGGCAGCTGTTACATTATTATTTGGATAAACTCTACAATTCTGCAAGATGAATTTGTGTTTTCGTTAAGGGCAAATACTTGCTTATTTTGGAAAGACGTCTCCAAATATTTTTGAAGAGTACTGTGATAAAGTGAGTAATTCTAGAAGCCAAGTATCCATGATCAAGAGCTGTTCAGTCAGGTCTGTTAGCAAAAAGCTAAACGGACAGAGTAGCATCTTCTCCAAATGACTGCTCTCCCCGGTATCTGAGCTTATAGGAACGTTCTTGTCAACAAACCAACCTTACAATCACTTGCATCTTCTTAAACTGGGGGGAAAGGATTGTACTATTTCCTTATAAATGAATTGGATACTAGCCACCTGGGCTTGGAGAAAAATGCTGCCGATTTCCTTTTTCTTTAATATAGTAGCTGTTTTGGTTAGGGGGGAAATACCATGCAGCTTCTGAAAGTATTTCTAACCCCCTTGGAACACACACGATAATTTTGGAGACTTCCAAGTGATCCATGTGAAGATGTCAAGATCCCTAATCTGAAAGCAGTTTCCATTTGCTGTCAGATACCAGCTTCTAATTGGAAAGGTGTTAGTTTTCATAGATGTTGCCAGTATACAAAATTAAGATTCTAAGCAATCAATTTTTCTTGCCCTTTCCCCCAGTTTTTAAGGTGGCATTTTTGTGACTATGCTTGACGGAGAGAGAACGAGGGAGATATATCACTTAAAGTAATTTGCTTTTGTTGATTTTCTTTACCTACAGAACTTATTTCTGGACTGGAGGGGTTTGGGGAGAAGACAGTGGTGTTACTGTGGTTTTGAAGGCATTCTGATTTAAGTACAATTTACTAGATCAGGGGTGTGGTTTTTAACCACAGAGTTAACGTTTTGACATTAGACTTAAGAGTCAATAGAAATAATTGAGCGATTAAAAAAAAATATTTGACAAGGATATCGTAATATATGTAAAAATTAGGAGGCATGTGCTTCTTCTCTTTTATAGCAAAATAAACCGTGCCAGTCCAGGCAAATTCAGAAGTCTACTAGAGTCTTGAAAATGGCACAATTCCCTGAGTTTTACACAACGGAGCCTCGAAACTGGCAGGGTTTTCTGGTTATAAACCACAATCTATGAACTCTCTTATTTGGAAGCAAATTCTCAGCTGGCTTACCAAATAATATGCTTCTTGGAAGTCTATTCTGTTTAGCAGTTCCTTAGTCTCAAATCTCTTCCCTTCCTATGAGCTTGTGGCATTATGAACATGGAGGGAAAAAGACAGGCAGCCATGGACCAAATAAAGGCAGCTTGGATTCCCCAGTTCTGAGTCTCCCACACCACACCAGTCCTTGAACTGAACAGTATGGAATCCATGCCTAAACTGTATAATGAAATTTCTCTCAAAGCAGTAACACGTGGTACTGGGAAAAGTAATGTTTGAAGGCTTTTGAAATAAATGTTCAATGAGCTGCCAAGCAAGTAACAGGGCCTATTTATTTACAGATGCAGAGAGGGTGAGGCTATAACCGTACACTGATTTACCTGGGAGTAAAACCCCATTGAGCTTGATGCGACTTACTTCTAAGCAGGTATGAGATAGTGCTGTTTGGTGCCTGTGTGAACTGTACTGTTGTAGGTCGGAGGGAGAAGGAAGAATTGCTGGTGAGATGGTATTGAGACCCCACTGGTTATTTCTGATGGGCTTAAGCAACTTTCATATTTTCATGGTGAAATCTGAAGTGTGAGGAATCTTCCCATTTACTAGAGACTCTCCTCATCAGCAAATGCAGTTTTTTGGGGGGCAGAACAATAAGGAACAGTTTTTGCTCATTTCGCAAATCAAGCTACAGAAATCATCTGCATATTTTGTTCAGTCCATGCAATCTCCTTGTGAGCCTCTTTTGAGGGTGGGTTGAAAATGGTACTTGCCTGCAATGAACAATTACCGGACAAGAACGACCCCTGTAGCACTTGTTTACTTTTCTGTAATAAAACAAATATAGACATTGATAAATATATTACTTTCTGAAGTAATCAGAAGCATTCCAAAATAAAGTATCTTCCACATATTACCCCCCCCCCAAAGATGGCTTGGCATATTAAAGTAGCTCAACATAGGCTATGATCTTCCAGCCCGTTTTCCCAGTTAAAGGCTTAATGAAATTGTTAGGGCAATGGGTGCAATTCTCCGATCATTCCTCCTATAAAATAGCCATCGGGGCACATTTTCTAGTGGACACTGCCATAGATAAAACTACATAGTCCAAGAATAGCAACCTTCGAAACTGCCAGTCTAGCTATCAAACAAGATTGTCGCTGCTCAGTGCCTGTATGCAAAGCCAAGCCCAAATCACATGGAAGTGTTACAACACAGACATATTAGTTATATGCTAGATCATGTAAACATTCGTGCTAACCCAGTGGGCTATTGCAAATGGAAGCTCCTGTACATACATGTCTTCTTGAATTCTTGAGTCAAAAGAAACAGAATTTTCACACATAACAGTAAAACACTTTTTAAAATATACTTCACACATCTGTAATGCAAATGAATGTAAAATCTACAGTTGATAGAAGGCATATTCCATTTGAAGAGCACTTTTTCAAAAGATAAAACCTCACCAATCAGCTGTTTGGCAGGAAAGGGGAAATCAAGTAGACGTCCACCCCACCCCCAACTTGCTTCTGATTAGTAGGAGTTAATCTTTGAAAAAGGTCTCTGTGTGTACACTGCTAGATGCTTGATTGGAGACGCATAGGACCTATTTGGTGCATGCAGTTCCTCACTGTGAGGAAACCTGGTTTCACATACATGCAGAAGCTGCAACCCGCCCCCCCCCCGGCTCCTCAGTAACTCCCACATACTAAAACAGCATGAGATAAGACTGAAATATCCTGTTTTTCAGCAAAGAAACAATGAAAAAAAATGCTATCAGTGGCGTCGTTTTTAAAACATCAACATAAGATTGTTTTAGCAATGTTGTTCACCCTGGTTTCTTCCTGTTCATGCCATGTGTAGAAGAGTACAAATAAATTTGTTCCTCTTAGGTTAAATCTTGCAATTATTCTGCACTGGTGCTCTTCCACATTTTCACTGAAATTGACGTCTCTTAGTTTCAAAGTAACTGTATTTAGAAATGAAATGTAGAAGCTGTATTCCTGAAAGAGCAGGGTGGGGGGTGGGGACAGTCAGAGACCATTGAGGCCTTCATTGTTCTGTTTTTCAGAGAAATAGAAGCTAAGCCTATTTTTCCTCACATCACAAAGTTGCCTTGGGCATTTTAGTGCCTCAACTTTAATTCCCATCTGTAAAATGGGAACGTTAGTTATCTATCTTACAAACTTGCTGCAAGGATGGGCATTAGAGGAGCTCTACTGCGTCAGATTAAAGTCCTTAACAACTATCACAGATAGATTTAAAATGGGAAATAAGTATTTCATCTAAAATTGAAACCCAGCAGCCCACAGATCCTGCTTAAATGTTTCTGTGGTGTGGGTGGTGGTTGTTTTGTTTTTGTTTTTAATATGTACTTTATGGTTTTATTCTCTATTTTATGCTGTGAACCTCAGATGAAGTGTGGTATACAAATTTGAAATTTAATATCATCATCATCTGAGTTCAGCAGAGTATTTTTATGTGAATTGGGCTGTAGGTTTTAAATAAAGCCCATTGAAACTAACCCCCCCCCCCCCGTTTTTATGCAAAGTGCAATTGGGGGCTTACTACAAATAAAAATCTTCAAAACATACCACAGAAATAGGTAAGATTTTTGAAGCAGTGGCATCTTTAGGCAAAGCATATCCAGACTATGGCTTAAATCTAAAGGACCACAAAATTAGTTCCAACGCGCCCAAATGGACTTTGAGCTTTTGTTTCTCAAAAAGCAATCCCGCTGCAACATGGCAAGCTGCTTTCAAAATCTAAGTGTCTTCCAAAAGCAGTTTGTGATACTGCAAGGGGATCTGCCGTTCAAAAGGAAAAAATCCCCAATCCACTAAGGATTCCCAAGCCTATTAGTGCACCCAACTTGGCTCTTTAGCTTTCGCCTTTTCCATTTCCACACTAGGGCTGCCTCTCAACAAGGGTCATCATTCTTGTAGTATTGTTTCAGTGCAGACCCCAACACGGTCACATCACCAAACTGTAGTTTGATTAGCAGGAATGCTCAGTGGGCTCTTCCCATCTCATGCTGATATTCCTCTTCCCTTTGGTTTCGCAGATAGCTGGTTAGCATGGCAGGTACACTGATATATTCACTAACTATATCCCTTCAGGCATAATCATGTAAGGGATCGTCTGGGCTCTGCCCTCCATCATGGTAAACTGAGGAACTTTTGGTTTTTCCAGGGCACTAAATAGCAAAGAATTCCTTCTTTACACAGCTATGCTCCAGTTCATAGCAATTTAGAATGGCAATGAGGGAGTGGAGCTAGTGCATGCCCCCACCCCCTTGCCTGATTACTCTACTCAGTAACAGAAAACCTGAACAGGGCTTATATACTAAGCCCAAGCAAGTGTTCACAAACCCACTTTGACCATAGTTTGAGGCTTACTATAAGCACGGTTAGCAAAAGCACTATATCCATAATGGAAGGGCAGGGCATTTCCATTTAAAATGGAGGAGTTGTGAACCTGAGGGGTACTCCCAACTGCCCACCATGTGGTAAGGTAAAAAGGTAAAGGACCCCTGGATTGAGGCACTAAAATGCCCAAGTCGAGTCAAAGGTGACCATGGGGTGCGGCGCTCATCTCACTTTCAGGCCGAGGGAGCCAGAGCCTGCTGTCCAGGTAATGTGGCCAGCATGATTAAACGGCTTCTGGCACAATGGAACACCGTGATGGAAGCCAGAGCACACGGAAACGCCATTTACCTCCCCGCTACAGCAGTACCTATTTATCTACTTGCACTGGCGTGCTTTCGAACTGCTAGGTTGGCAGGAGCTGGGACAGAGCAACGGGATCTCACCCCGTTGCATGAATTCCAACTGCTGACCTTCTGATCAGCAAGCCTAATAGGTTCAGTGGTTTAGACCCCAACCATGTGGTAGAGGTTGGTCTGTTTGGGCGAATGGGGCAATGTCCCACCAACCTTAATCTACCTTCAGTAGGCTGAGACCTGCCTGGCATTCATGAGTTACAAGCAGTCCAAGGGGGTGGGCACTGCCTATGAGCTTCCTCCTCATTATTTCCACAATGCCCTGGTAGAAATCAGCAGGAAGGAGGAGGATGGGGACAAAACCAGCATTAGTTGGCTCTGCTTGTTCTTGGCTCTGCCTCTGCCTACTGTTGGGCTCTCTCTGCCTTCTGACCCCACCAGTCCCAATGCAACCATGACAGTATGGCAGCATTAACGGGAAGAATTATATTTGCAATGATGTGCCTTCTTGCAATGTTAAGTGCTGGACCAAATGGTACAATTGTCGCAGAGTGAATGGTTGAGTTCTCATCCTAAAGAATGGGGATATCAGACGCTGGTTTGAAATCAAGGTAGCATGATCAATTAGAGCCAAAGGCTTTCTGAGAGGTGGAAGTTTAACATTTTATCCTTTTCTAAGGGTAATATTTTCATTATTATCGTTATGCTGAAATAGCATAGTCTTGGACTTGGAAAAAAGGCCTTGGGATAGAAATACACGACCAGCAGCTCATTAACGGTTGGTCTCCTGAATGCACAGCAAAAGCCAATTTACACTTCACGTGGTATGGCAGGTATGTTGGTGTTTGCTGTGTGACTGAGAGATGTGCCTCTCCAAACACAGATGAACACATGCTAGCACTGTGGCTCCCTGGTGGACCTGTCCCTGTGGGTTTAGGGATGTTGCATTCCGCCCTTCACACTTTACAACAACCAACATCAGGCTACTCACAGGGGCATGTGAAGCGTTAATCAACTCCGAGGACTAGCTAGAAGTGTTAAGACATTTATTTTCATATTTCTGTTTCCCACATATGCCCATTTAAAATCTGCATGGCTCCTTACCTATAGATAATCATATGGGCAACTTAGCATAATTTGTCTTTTTTTTTATTGACACCTGAATCGTATTTCATAGTTCAGAAGGCATTTGAAAATAATTATTTCAAAACAAGCTTTGCTGAGAAATAGCTTTGGAACATTATACATGGTTTCATTCAAAGTTTAGTCCTTTCAAACTCAGTAAAAACCTTTTTTGATAAAGTAAGGTTCTGGGTGTTTTAATATTTATTATTAAGTTTATATGCTGCACCTTCCTCAAGGAGCCCAGGGTGGCAAACATGGCAATACTAAAACGATACAATTAAAACTTTTAAAAACAGTTAAAACATCTAAAAGCAATCACCTACTGTCAAACTAATTATTTCAGGTTTGCTACGGATAGAATTGCCAACCATTAAACACCTGGGTAAGTAGGAATGTTTCTAAATTTCTCCTAAAAGTTAATAGTGAGGGAAACTGACAGACTTCACTAGGGCAACTTATTCCATAAATGGGACCACCACTGAGAAGGCCCTGTCATGGGTAACTGCCTACCGGGCCACCCCTGATGGTGGCACCATTGTAGGGTTCAAGTTGGTTGATATTGGAGAAGGTACTCTTTTGCGTAATGAAGTCCCAAGCCATTTAAGGCCTTATATTCTAGTACTAATACCTTAAATTGGGCCCAGTAGCTCACTGGCAGCCAGTGTTGTTCTCTAAGGACCAGTGACACATGATCCATTGGTCTGCCCAACTTACCAACCTAGCAGCCACATTCTACACTAGCTGCATTCCCTGGAACTTCTTCAAGAGCAACCCCACATAGAATACATTACAGTAGTCCAGGTGGGAGCTATCCTGAGCCAGGAATGGCCAGGGCTGGCAAACCAGTCTAAGCCTGGCATAAGCCCTCCCAGCCATAGAAGCCGCTTGAGACTCCAGTGACAAGTTGGAATCCAGGAGTACCCCGAAACTACAAACCTATTCCCTCAGAGGGAGTACAACCCCTCAAATAATAGGTTGAACACCTAATTCCTGGACCCAGGAGCCACCAGGAACCAAATAAAGTACATACATACACATATAAATATATACATTTACACGCACGCACACTTCAAGAGGGAGGAAGAAGAGGAGAAGAAGAGGAGGAAGAATTAACTAGGAAAGAATGATTAGTAATACAAACCAACCCTTGGTTCATTGAGTGAAAAAGAAATCACCATGCAAACCATCAGCAAGCAAAGGTCAGAGGTCGTTAGAAGCTCAGAAAAGGGGTTTCCCATATTGTCCCTGCAGCAGAGTCACAGTTTCCAATGATCACTTTTGTGACTATGCAACTGGGCTTATATTACTAGCTGCAACATCACAAAAATGACACTGGCAACCGCTAATTAGCTGGCAAAATAAGAATTTGACCATTTTTAAAGTGAGCAGTGTTAGTAAATGCCATTGCACACAGCAAGCAGTGATAGCATAATATATATTTTAAGCAAAGCCCTCACATGTGATGCTAATTATCTTTTAGCTTAGCAGTGTCTCTTTAAAGTGTAAATGTGCTCCCTCTGGGCTCCAGGAATATTTAATTACACATTATCAGTGCATGACTAACAAGCTAGTCCAGAGTTTAAACGATTGGTCTATTGTTCAAAATAAAATTAGGTTTCTATAACCATTAAAACTGACCAGTGTTTTCAGGAGAAGTTTCATTTATCAAGCACTGCATTCTGCATGGATATTTTAAGCTTATGGAGGGAAGAAAAATCTGCCTTCTTTCACCAATTGATACTAGATTTCACAATATTTTAATTCACCTACTCAACACAATAGAATCTGAAACAGTGTCTAATATAGAGGAACAAAAGAAGTGCAAGCTTGTTGTTTTCAGAATCTCACAAAATTTGCTTCCAGGAGTGAAAAATGCACATATATTTCAGAAGCTCTGGGACAAGCTAATTTGGGGATGGGGCGGGGAACCAATTTTTCTTGGTGATATTTTCTTAATTGTTTATATTTGCATCTATACATACATACCTATGTAAGCATATAAATATACATACATTTACAAATATATATTTGTATATAAACATGTTAGATGCATGTCAAAACATTAAAAGGATGGGAGTCACACTTAGTAAAACTTTATCTGAGTATCTGTAGTTGCAAAAAAAGGAAAGTAGCTAAGCCAGAGGTACTTTTTTCTGAAAGTGTGAGACATTAAATTTCAATATCAAGGGAGGCAGAGTATTTATTGCTTTGGCTGATCTTAAATTGCTTCAGTTGTAAGGTAATTACGATTGCCAATATACTTAAGTTCCCTTTAAAAAGAGCATGGAGCGTTTTGTTTCCCTTAAAATATATAAAATTGATTCTATTTAAAAGCAAACAAACTGTGAATAGCTTTTAAACCTTTACCTGAAAAGCACCTCCACTACATACAGATTACATGTTCATTTTATTTTCTTTTAAAACCAGCTGGCTTCTAACTCATTCACTCCAACCTCTACTCCTGTGGCCTTTTGCCCTTTGTGGAGCATTGAAAAAGGGCTTGTAACCTTTACCCCTTTGTGACTGCAGTAAGAAGAAATTCTTGATGTCTACCAATGCTGGTGTTCTGATTTTGATTTATTTTTTTTAGCTGAAGTAAGCAAAACCTGGGTATGTAGAACTGCAGGACTGGTACTTAAACAATGCAGAAACCTGAAAAATCTGTGGGTTGGATTCAGATTAAGTTAAGCATACCTAGGTCATGACAAATCCCAATAATTTAAAAGCAACTAAGTTAAGTCAGGATTCAACCGTGGGTCTTTATGTAGCCTGCAAACAGAAATCAACATGCGCAAAGCTTTTCAAGACGCAACTGTAAGCCACATAGACCATTCCCCCTTTTAAATGTGCCAGTGCGCATTTTTACGACATGCCTCATAAGAGCATTTATTTAAGAGTGCAAGTTCAGAGGACTCAGCTATGGTATTTTAATCAGAAGTAGCATTACATGGAAGAACTTTCATATATAAGCGGTACTGCGATTTGCACATTCCAATGAACTAGTGTGAGACTGTCCATGAACTCTGCTAAACATCATCTTAGCATACCTTCAAAATGCGAGGAGGGATAGTCCTCAGAAACAATGTGGAATTTCAGAAGCTACCTAGACAGTTGGAATATCAAAAGCAATACCAGCCCACTACCCAAAACTAGACATCAGATTCTTGTTGCGAAACAACTGCGAAAGTGACCAAAAATGTTTTCAGTATACACGGTAGCCTGGAAATGGCACTCCTAACCCTAGGAGGTCTGGGATGGAGAGGGTTAGGTAGACTAGCGCACCTCATGGCTTCTCAGCCCACAAGAAGCAGCCAGTTTAGTACCCACTTTAAGATGCTTCTCCCATGAGATGCATTCGCTGGCATCTTTAATCTTCATATTTAACCTTGTTCTAATTAATGCAATTGGGTTCATTTCGCTTGATGCCCCAAGCAGGGCATGGTGACATTACCTTGGCACATTGGCATGACTTTAGCAAAAGGGCTCCATGCATGAACTGCACCTGAAGGCAGACACATGCAACAACATACTTGGCTGTGCAGGCAAAGTTTCTCTACTGTGGCCACTGCATATAATGCAAACAAACACCTTATGCATAGATAAAATCGCTGCTTTAGATTCCAAGTCAGCACACTGATCATGGTGCTAAAAATACCGTGTGCCATTATTTACTTACACACAGAATCCATTTGCACCACTACATCTGCCTACAACTCCATGGCTAACATAGCATTCAAAGTATCCACTGGTTTAGGATAATTCCCTGGTTCCCGACCGGGTTCTTAAGTGGGATTATTTCTTCTGCATGGCAGTTTTTAAAAATGTGAAACCATGGGCAGCTATTCAACCTAGAAAGAATTTTTTTTGGGGGGTCATATATCTGAGTTTCCTTATGAACAACTTTTGATGGCATTTTAGGGGGCACTCAGAAACAGTCCCAGAAGCATGTCTGACTCACCAGCCACTTATGCACCTAACTTAAAACTATTCACTCTTTGTGTTGTACCTGCGAAAATCCAGAAGGGACCTTGTGGAAGTGGGCACTTTCTGGTCATGCCAGGTAAGGAAATGGAACTGTGTCACGGTTCGAGTCTCATTGGTTTGTAGGTTTTTCAAGTAGAAACTTCTCACAAGGAAATCTTCACACCAGATGTGCTCTGAGACCAGATTTACCTGCCGTTGCACGAAAAATATAAAAGTGAATTAAATATGGAATACAGCAGATAATCACACACATGGCATGTTCTATTGGGAATATCTGACATTTCAAAATATCCTCTTTTGGACAGAAAACATGTGCCTTGTTGGAGTGGGCTTATTTAGGAATTTTTCTTATTTTGTTTATTACTTGAAATTTACTTCCTTTTAACTCAAATACATATTTTTGACAATCTGCTCTGATGGGAAAAGTTGTATGAACTTAAAATGCCACTTTTCCAAGCAAAAATGGCCCACGTAAAATAGCCTATACTATTAAACTAGCAATAAACACAATAAAAACCCTTATTATCGTAAACAACACAATAATAAAATGCTACAAAACGTGGGTGCTACCCACCAGAGAAGCAAGGAGGAGGAGCTTCTCACAAGAGCCCCATGAAATCTCATGAAACTCTCTTAGGATCCCATAGGGCTCTTGTAAGATCTCTCTGGAGCCTAGAAGTTGTCATTGTGTGACCCACTGACCCAGGTAAGCGAGGCTTCAGTGGGGGTTTGAGGACACAGAACGACAACTTTCCCGTTTTGCCTCACACACTGAAATGGACTAGACTGCCCCTGCTGTTTGGTCACAGAGAAGTAATGTGGCTTGAGTTATTTGATGAACAGCCGGTTAGTCTTATTAACTTAAAAAAGTGTTTTGTATCTCAAGCCTAAACATTTGTGCTGGATGGACCTAGCATTGTCAGTGGTAAGGGATATGCTTTTCATTAAGGCTCTGGACCCAACCCTAGACACCTTGAAGCTTTGAACACAATACTGAGCTACATGGACCAGTGGTCAGGCACAACATAGCAGTTTTAAATACAGTGGTACCTTGGTTTGCATGCATCTTTGTTTGCAAACATTTTGGATCACAAACATGTCAAAAGTGCGTGTCCCTGTTTGCAACCTTTTTTTGGGATTACGAACAAAAATTTTTTGGAGGCCCCATTGGCGAAAACGCGCCTTGGGTTACAACCTGTTTTGGTTTACAAACGGACCTCCAGAATGGATTATGGTTGTAAACCAAGGTACCACTGTATTCCCAATGCAGAATCAGGCCCCTGCGATACCAGAACAGGATTGCTATGCCTGGCGAGTGGTTCATTACAAATAGGATTTGATTTTGATTTAAGCCTATTAATTCTGCTTAAATCCAAAAACTCTTATCTTAAGTTGTTTTAATACGATCACCAGTAATTCAACCTAACTTAGGCGAATATATATCTTTGCTTCTTTATCCTGCTTTAACATTAAGCAGAATCAGAGCCGATCCTGCACCAAAGAAAGTTATGAAAGTGAGAGAAACACACACGTGTTGTAGGAAATGCAGATGGCCCTTCACACCTAGAAGCAGACACAAATAATGCCTAGAGAAACAAATTCACTATCCATACTTAAGCAAGGTTGGTTCAATCAATTTCTGTTCTGCATCACTTTTGCATATATTCATGCCCCATTTCTGCACATATGCATTTTAAAAACAAACCATGAATGCAAATTACTCATTTATAGCCTTTATTTTAACACTATGCATATTTTTTTTTCATTTTATCCTAAAATACAGAATTTAAAATATATTTTGAGTTGTTGTTTGTTTTTTAAGCCAAGAACTGCACTGCAAAATTTGGAGTAGCGCGAAATGCAAAGGATAATGACATTAGAATCCACACCTCAACGTATAGGAGGTGCTGTTTGAGTTAAATTTGCATTCAAAAATAGGAAATTCCTTAAACATCTGTATCGAATGTGACTGCTGCTTGTTGACGATCCAAGACAAACAAAAAGTGGTCTGCCCTACCAGTCCTCATTGAATTCCTCCTCTCCCCCCGCCACTTGTGCATAATAAACTTCCCCCATGCATGTAGAAGTCAACAACTATGGCTGTTTGACTTATGCATAGAATCAAGCTGGAATCTATAGATACAAAGCAGAGTGAGGCCATATTTGTTCAAGAAGTGTTGCCATTAGTTATTGCTTATTCAAAGTATTTCTGTATAGTATAACCTGGCAAGACAATGTTACACACAGGAAACAAATTTTGCTTTAACTGACTTAACATGGCCCTGCAGATGTTGTTGGACTACACCTTCTATCCAGCCCTGACCATTAGGCATTTTGGCCAGAGCCCATGGGAGTTGGAGTTCAACATCTGGAGCATTATGGGTTCCCCATATCTGTTTTAATAGAATCAACAGTTGCAGAGGCCCTGCCTGCAACAAAGTAGTGGTCAGGATGGAAACTTTAAAAGGTACCTATTTCGGTCCAGAGGGAAGCCCCACTGATGTATAAATGTATCTGGTTTTCAGCAGCTCATTACTGGTCAATTTGTCGTAATATACACATTTTTTGCAAAGCAAAAATTTAATCCCTAATACATTTTTGTGTGTTGTTCTCAAGTGAACAGAATGAGAAAGATGGTGGAGGTCTACCTCCTATGCTCCTATCTGTTAGGAATTATGGTTGAAATAGGTTTTGCTCAGGACTTGGCACCCTATATTATTTAGTCAGCTTTTATAACGGAGTCACAATGCCTGGTCTTATAGCAAGATAGACCAGATTGTTGCAGCCACCTCGGTGCATTCTACTACTTGGGGTGTCGCAGCTATGTACATCTACAGTTGTGAATTGAAAAAAAATGCTAAACAAAAATTAGCTTAATTATCAAAATCATAGGTAGGCCTTTTGATAGGGTGTGGAGCCTACAGCTGCTGTTAAATATTTATAGGCACAATATTTTCTTATAATGTATACATTTTAATTTCCCCCTTATTTGTATTTTAAATGTGTGTGCATCTGTGTGTGTGTGTGTGTGTGTGAGAGAGAGAGAGAGAGCATTCTAATTTTCAAACCTCTTTGGTCATGTATATATTTAGAATCTGCACAGAATTGCTTTCCTGCTAACCGTTCCATCAAGATATGCATAGAATTTTCAATGAAGCTGAAATGATTCAAGAGCCACAAGATTGCATTTTATGGTAGACCTCAGCTCAGTTTGCAGGTCAAATCCCATTAAGCAATATTTTCCTCTGTATGAAATCAATCCACACACTTACTGTCAGGTTTACAAGCAGATATTTTGTTTAAGTACCTCGTAGATATGGTAGAGGTTTGACCCTTCGTCTGGCCAATAGTGGTAGCACTGTTTGACTCCGTTTTCAGCAAGGGGTGTCAGCATGACAATAACGACACAGCCGTTTTCCCAGACCATCTGCACACAAAGAAAGACACCGTGGCCACACTGTGACTGCCTAATTACTGCATGACATGTATAATTACGGCACTCAGACACACAATCGAAATTTATTCCATTCACAGGAAATGTATTTCATTTTCATTAGACACTTTTTCTCTGCAGCTGCTTCCAAATCTCTGAATAAACTAGCGTCATATTTTGCATGTTCACATGAAATATTAAAGAATCTCCAAAGAATTCCTCCAAATACTTCTAAAATAAATTCTATGCCTTTCTTTACAATTATCTCCAGTTCTTTTTCACTTTCACACTCCCAATTTACAGAGGAAACAATAGTGCTTTTCGTAGAAAGTCTGCTGCATCGTATTTGGTTGCAGAACGCAAACCCAATATGGATGTGTGTAATTAACAAAATAGCAGCAAAATCTGTCATGCTAAGTCAAAGAGAGATGCTGCTTCTTTTAGATGCCTGTCATGTTAAAAGATAATCAGTTGAGCTGTCATATTAATGCTAGAAAAACAGTAGACAGAAAAACAAAAACCAGTTGCCTTCTGGAGTTGTATTGGTGTAATACTTATTCTCCCCCTCCCATCCCAAATGAATCATCCTACAATAAGTCAATGGGTCTACTCAGTAGCAAAAATCGACACTACAGGTTTCAGATTTGACTCATAAAATTTTCAAGAAATACATGTAAAATAAAATATAATGCAACCTACCCTCTGGGCTATATTTTCCCAAAATATACAGATATCACCATGAACATATGATAACAAGGAAACTTCAACAGTGGGACTGTTTAATAATGTAGTGTCGCCCCAGAGCAAGCAAACAAGAATCTAAGGCACTCTCAATTAAAGGTCCGCTAGATGTTATTCATAGAAGCAACAAAACAAGCTAGGGTAGTATATCTGTGCTGGAAAAACAGCCTGTTGTTGAACAAAAACCCTCCTGAATTAATATGGAGCTGCATAATCAAGAAAAGTCTTCATTATTGTGGTGTACATTGATGCTATATTTGCATGCAATTTTCATTGTCTTTTTATTAGCATACAAAATTATCTCATGAAAAGGAAATTGGACTTACTGCAAAAGGGTTACGTTTATTTCGCAGAAATATTTATAAGCAACTGCATTGAAATGCAAATGGAGTAAACAAGAAAAGGGGGCATTCGGATAAGAAGCACAGGGATGTTACATTAAATTAAAAGCTTCCTTCTTTGTGGCACAGGGATTTATTTTTACCTTAATTTCATTTGCTTTATTTACACAACAATGACTCTTTTTAAAAGGAAAAAAGCCTTTGTACAAATTTTGGATAGCATTAAGACAAAGACAAAGGTATATTGTAATGCTAGGGACTACTTTTACACACTTTTATTGTAAAACCTCTCTGTCTCTCTGGAAAGAGTAAAACTTACTATGCTGACCCTGTATTCCCAAAGTGATTTCCTGGTTCCACTGAAATCAGAGAGTATAAATAATCTTGCTGCAAATTCTTAACAATGCAAAAATAGTATGTTGGATCTAAAGCAATGAATAACGACTAAGGGTCATTTTTCTATTTCCTTAAGAGGTTTTTTATTAATTTCAGCAAAACCTTGAATTGAAAGATGCTGCCAGTTACATTAGTTCATATACTCCACTCCACAGAATTCTACAGTCTCTCTCTCTTATTTTAACTGTATCTGTACTATAGAAAAAATGAAACCCCACCACAAATTGGCCAGGCTAGCTTGTGCTTCTATCATATAACGATTTAATGTGCCTTTAGAAGGTATACAAGCTCAATGAAGCCATTACGAAAATGAGGAGAAACACGGTTTTTATGAGTGCAATAAAAACACAATGATCTAGGTCATAAACTAATCATCCAGCAGTTGCTTGTGCCACCCAAGTGTAACATTATGAAAGCCTACTCATTTAGAGAGAGGGAGAGGAATCCTTACAGTTTGGCATCCCTTTCCATGGGCTTAAAAAAAGAAAGAAAGAAAGACATAGGGAGAACAGCATTTCATTACAGAGGAACTTCCTCAAATCTCTGAAAATTTCCTTAAGCATAAATCCAAATGAAAGTTAATTTCAACAAACAATTTCAAAGTTACTCTGGGGTACCATATTTCTTTCCAAGTCATGTTATGAGGTACATGACACTGAACGCTATCAACGCCACAACTGAATTCCAACAATGGAATTCTAGGATATTGCAGTCATATTTAACACTTTGATGTCTATACCATTTCCCCATTAACCCCACCTCCCCAACATTTTCTCCTATCCTTTTCCCTAAGCTAATATTTTATTAGCAATAATAATTGATGTTGGGGGAAAATACAACTTAGTCTTCTAATAATATTTAGGTATTTATTTTATTTATACAGTTTATATACCATTCTAGCATGTTGCTCTTTGAGAAGTTCCCCATTGTCCATAGAAACACTATCATCACTTTGACGCCTGCTTCCTGAATCAAATGCTTCACAGTAAGGCCAGTCTGTGGTGCCCTCATTCTTCTGTAAGAATATATGTTCAAAGGACCAAGTGGAACATTTGTAATGGCTGACCAGGTAGACTAACTGCTACAAATTAACTAAAGATGGATGTCTAATATAATGTGCTATTAAACATCTGCACTAAACATTCTTTGTATTCGTCTCCCATTCCCATCTCCTACCCCAAACGTTCCTCAACTCTCTTTTAAAATGAATCCAATCCAGGCACACAGCAGTCTGTCACCTAACTGTACCTCTTCTGGGATCACTTGTTCAAAATCTTGCTGTATACATGGAAAGCCAACAGATGTCACTTGATTCCACCTGTAGGCCTCAGTTCTGAATGGGCTTGTGCTTGCATGCAGGTTGCGACATGACAAACATTCAATCTTTATCTAGCTTCATACCCACAACCTGGACCCAGCACTTCTTTATGACCAAAGGAGACCTGGATCCTGACAATGGGCAGATGCCTAGTTTGGATCATTCTGGGAAGCAACCACTGAATTCCATGGAGAAGGTGGTGGAAGCCCAAGGGATTGAGGAAACCCCATCCCTACTGCTAAAAGTTCTCTTGCTCATGCCCTCAGACAGATGCTTCCCTCAACATGTTCTGCAGCTATGCAGATCCTGCCTTCACAACTACATGAGTCCAAGAGGCAGCAGGAGACTTGATAGTATCCCCTGAAGTTCATACCAAGCACAACATGCAAACTTTGTCATTAGAACAGAGCTCTCCAGGAGGCAGGAGACATCACTCTGAAGGGCAATCTCACTCCTCAGTAGCCTCCAGAAAGGCTTTCCTGAAGCACCCTAGCTTTGCTTACTCAACAGCTCTGTTGCCACCTGGTTGACTTCATTGTTTTTACGCTGGTGCCTAAATAACTGCAAAGCTGATCCTGGGCAAAGTCTCTGGAGCAGGAAATTCTACAGGTGGAACACTATAGCTGCGCCCAATTGAAGACCTCAGCAGATGAAGTGAGCGTCTAGGAGGGCTGAAATCAAGGAGGGGTTCCTTTAGATTCCTATGCAGTCCTAAGTAACTTGGCACCCAGGTAAGGACTTGAATCTTGAACTGGTCTTGTAAACCGGCAGCCTGTGAAGCTCTTTCAAAACTAGCAAGACAGGTTCCCACAAAGGTGCCCCAGTTCAAATTCAACATTAAAAAATCTTAGGGAACATTGAAAATACTAAGATATGGGACATGTTCAGCTCATGGCTGTTGCTTTCCATGGGACTGAAAAGCAACATCAGGATTAGCCCTTAAAAAGCAATTTTACCCTTTCTAACTCAGGCCAACCAGATATCCTAATTTCAATTTTATGGACTTTGGCTATTAAAGTATTGCAGAGAAATAAGGAGAAGAGCACCGGTTTGACTATGAAAATCAGGGTTTAACATGCACTAACCTAATGCAACACTAAGTAAAACCCCACTGATATAGAGGTACAGGTTGTATTTTGGTTCCCCCATAAACTTCCCTTCTTGTCCAACCCATTCACAATTGCGAGGCTGATCTACTCCAGAGTAGGGTTGTTCTGCTATTACTGTGGGCTTCAAGAGAGCCTTGAATTCATAATCAGAACAGGGGCCCATGGGAAAATGGGTTCCATCAACCCGCATAAGTGCTACCTGGATACCATGGACCTTCAAATGACACCTCTTTGGTGTGGAGCAACTTGGGTTTTTTTGGCGTTAAGTATTCGTTATTCTGCAATCAGAATCCACCCCCCCACTTTGAGTGAATTCAAGGTTTTCTACCCTGGGAGAATCTGAAAAGCACAACAAAGCAAAAAGCAAATCTGCTGCCCATTCTCTTCAGTTAAGGTGGTGCCAGAATGATCTTTGCAATGGAGGCAGGGGTGGGTGGGTGCAATCCAGAGCTTGCTAGCTTGCTTGGTTTGCAAAGTGCAAGGAAAAAAAGTATCTTTTTTCTGCTTCCACACTTCCAGCTACACACTGAAGACTGTGACCCAAGTAAGACTATATTATGGGGTGGGGGAGGTGAACTGTGGCTTTGTTTTTGACATAGGGTGCTGATTTGTGTTTGGCCCACCTTAAATCTTTTTAAACCTTGCAAGTGTGTTGGAATTCTGAAATTCCAAAAAGCAGCAGTTTTGAATATCTTAAGTCTTAAAGGAGCAACTGTTTGGTTCATGAAACAATGGACAGGATTTGGGAACCTCCCCCTAGTCTGAGACACACACAGACATATAGGAACTTGCAAATATTCTGGGTGGCATTCAACTAACTTTTACTCAGAGTAGACCCACTTAAATTAATGGACCTAAGTGAGGCATATTTCAATGGATTTGATTTACTCTGAGTAAAACTTAGGTGAATATGACCCTCTAGCTTATCTTTCTTTCTTTCTTCCCCCAACTCAGTTAAGGATTTAATGGGAAAAAGTTTATATAACATGAAATGCTAAACTTTAAAAAGCACCTTCTTGGGTCCGGAGGGAAGCCCTACAAATGTATAAAAGTATTTGGTTTTCAGCAGCTCTAGGCTTGCATTACAAAGTACTTGGAAAATTAGAAAATTGCATTAGTGGCAGGCAAACGACATATTCCAACCCTGTGCACATGCTGTTAGATAGGAATAAGGCCACATCTGGATCGTAGCACACTTCCCTAAACCTCCTGCTAGGAATTGAGTGACTGCTACTTTTCCTTGGGGTTCCCATGATGTTCTCTTCTCAGCAGATCCTAGGTAGGAACCATTTTCCATCTCAGTTCTCCCTTCTCCCACCCCAAATTTGACAACTCAATTGTCACCTCAAATTCTGCTGATACCCATTCTATTCCCACAGCCCAGGTTTGCTTCAACTTGGCATGCTAAGATTCCACACACAGACTCATTCAGCACAGCTTAAATTGCTCCATGGTCCTTCAGGAGAACCTTTCGGCCTTTCTGTGATGTGAGGAGTGGGGGCATGTTTCACCCCTAACACACAGACCCCGCTTGCACATCTGCGGAGTGTACATTGAACCGAATCCATTTGTCCACAAACAAAATCACCGCCATAGTTATACCCAACCCAGTGCAGGTTTTTAATATTACATGTATGATATTAAAGGTAAAGGTAAAGGTACCCCTGCCCGTACGGGCCAGTCTTGACAGACTCTAGGGTTGTACGCTCATCTCACTCTAGAGGCCGGGAGCCAGCGCTGTCCGCAGACACTTCCGGGTCGCGTGGCCAGCGTGACGAAGCTGCTCTGGCGAACCGGCACCAGAGCAGCACACGGAAACGCCGTTTACCTTCCCGCTATAAAGCGGTACCTATTTATCTACTTGCACTTAATTGTGCTTTCGAACTGCTAGGTGGGCAGGAGCTGGGACCGAACGACGGGAGCTCACCCCGCCGCGGGGATTCGAACTGCCGACCATGCGATCGGCAAGTCCTAGGCGCTGAGGTTTTACCCACAGCGCCACCCGCGTCCCTAACAATGTATGATATTACAACCCTGTATTTTGCTGCAGGCTCACAATACTGTTACACTTAAGATGTAGTTAGAAATGAATACACAATTGTAAAAGGACGGCCGCAGCATGAACCATAATTCAGCAGCAGATCATCTGCTTGGTATGCAGAAGTTCCCAAGTTTTATCCCTTACGTTTCCATTAGGACTGGGAATGTTCCATTTGAAACCCTAGAGAGCCATGGCTAGTCAGGGTAATACTAATCTAGATGCATCAATGGTCTGGCTCAGGGTGAAGCACCTCCCTATGTTCCTAAAAGCAGTTCAACAAAGGCTTTTTACCTGCCAGAAGTCTGTGACCGTAGAAGGCAGGGCGCCCTGAGCAGCTATATAAGCAGGGTTCCTAGGATCATGGTCCATCTGAAAAAGGAAAAAGCAATTAGATGCAGGGCTCAATATGAACAGAGAGGGAGAGAAAATTGCCACAAAACAGCGAAAATAGCAGTTTTGCAGTGCATTAGTGAACTGATCAACTAGGAGAGCACTTCTCTTGAAAGGAGGAAAAAGTCTGTTATTTCCTTTCCTCAGAATAAGAGTTCCTTTCTCCAGCAGAACAGAATGTGTCGTCTAATACTAAGATGTCACAAGATCAGCGATCTATGTTCTAAATATGTAACGTGAAATCATTTAAGGAGCATTCGCTGACAAAAAAAAAAAAAAAAGCATTTACTCGGGGTTTTCAGTCTCATAGCAACCTACAAGCCACTTCAAAACATTTCTCAATGCAGGGCATTAGGGATGCCGGGCACATTTAAGCATCTCTTCCATTTCTGTCATAGCACTCAAGGGCATCTAGAAACAAGCCAAAACTGAAGAACAAACTCAATCCTGGCCTTTTCTGGTCAGTTTGTTTGTTTAAAAATGCAGGCTTCTAACCCTCAATAAAAGAAGTTCTGTTTAAAGACCTTAATTATTACATCTATTTCAAAGAGTGACTGAGTAGGGAAAAAAGAGATCCTCAGAAACAAAGCTACGGAGAGTAAATAGGATTAGGTAGTTACAATGAGTGTTTTCAAACAGATGGGTGGGTTTTCTGGTCTTAAATCTTTGGCCCCATTCTCCTGATAAGGACAAGATTGGCTGATGGGAATTTAAACACAAGAAAAACAACAAAAACCCCATTGATTGTAATCCTTAGAAAGAATTAAAACACACACACTCACACTCATGAACAAGGCTGACATTATGCTTGCAGTTGCAGGAGCACAAATCTCAATTATTTCAACAAGTGCTAAATTGTACTGAGCAGTGGAATCCACCCTCACCCACCCCCAAAAAAAGTTTTATCAAAAATTTAAGCAATAGCAGATAGCAGCACCCTGTAACACTCAATATATTAACATTTATAAACACAAGTCAGCCGTTCTAAGGGGGAACCACTTATTAGGTTGGAGATTCGTGTTTGCATTTTCCAACTTGCTTGGTTTTACTTTTAATGGGGTTGTAGTTGCGTGAGTTTGCTGGCTGCGCTTTTAACACACACACACACACACACACACACACACACACACACAATTTTTCCAATTTAAAAGACCCCTGTACTGCTGTTTGTACCCCAGGGGAAAATTATAGATGCTTGTATTTGTGTTTTCCCTGTGTGACACATAGCAGCATGGGGTTTTGTTTGGGGAAATGGCCTGGAATGAAATTCTGGAGCTATTTCCCCAGTCCTGCATTTCCATTTTTGTTTTTAAAAATCTGGTGATACAATCACAGATCTCCTAACTCAGGCCTGGATTATTCATTACTTTCAGAAGCTCTCTTTTACTTGTGGAGTCGTTCTGCCTACATGATCGGTATTATGTTCAGCCAGGAGTTTTTGGACCTTGGCTGCAACCAATTCCATGGCATCAACACCACATTTCATATTTTGTGGTCCACTGGATTCAACACATAGTACATTGACCAGGACCAAAAAGCTATTTTAGGCACATCCAACGGTTTGGGGATGTGCAGTGCAGTTTCTAAATTATTTTGTTTGAACATCAGTTTCCCATCTGGTATCACAAACTGCTTCTTAAAAACCCATAATTTCACCTCTTCGTATGCCTCTAGGCGATTTGAAGCAGATTGGTTAAGATTTCTCCTGATTCTTAAACAATAGCAACAGCAGATTCCATAATTTCAAATGCAGCACACAATATCCATTAGGGTGTATTACTGCTCAAAGAACCACGGGCCAAAATATACATTGGGAGCATGGAACTAGTTGTGCAGTTTTAGGTCTCCCCTAGCCACTGCTCATTTGAGTGGGTGGCTCCCATGATTGAAAGAAATGGCAAAAAACCAGATACCTGAAGCACCTCACTATAATAAAATATAACACGATTTTATATATATATTAAAACCCAGTATAATTTGTAACACATGCTTGCTGCTTCTAGTAGATAATGATTCCGTTTTATTTTATTTAACAACTTTAGCATATCCAAAGGAGAAGGTCACATTCATTTATTTACATGACCACATTTGGAAGTGCTGTGCTTCTTTCATAACCCAGCTTTCCCTTTCCCCCTCCTGAAACACGTAACAAGGCAAAAATTGGAGTACAGGTAAAGGGAACAGTGGCCTTGAGGAAGGAGATGCGGTGGCTTAACCAGCCTAGAATCACCGGACATCATTTGCAATGGATGAAGCATGCAGTGTGTTGCCTAAGGCGTAGACTACACTGCGGTAGTTGGAAGGTAGTTTGGCACCTGCTGGTAATTTGAAGTAGGGTTTCCCTCAATTGTTTGCCAAATAGCAAGAGCAAAACAACTTCCCCCAGCTAAATCAGATTGCCTAAATGAAGGACTCTAAACAGGCACGAACTTTTATGTGTGAGCTTGCTTCAGTTCTAGCACTGGAAAAAAATATCACTGGGTCAGAATATCCTGAGACACCCCACAATTTTGCCCCGACCACAAGTCTTTAGCAGATACAAGTCTATCTGGGCTGGTAGATCTTGGTGTTCTCACCGGTAAAATGGCATGTCTGAAGTGTTGGTCCAGCAGATGCTGTTGGGACTCTGGCTCCCTTGGCCAATGGTCAGGAATGCCACAAAGCTGCACTCCAGCATCATCTCAAGGGCCACAGGTTAACCACCCCTGGTACAGGCAAGCAGCTCATCACCACAAAAGCTCATTACTAAAACCATTTCTGCAATGGATTACTTCAGACTGCTGGCAGCACTTTGCAAGTGTGAAAACACTTTTGTGAGTGCGTTGGGGGAGAACGGACTCTTACACATGGAAAACTAGAATGTTGCGGTTAAGGATAGACTACAACTGGGGTGGCCAACATGGTGTGTTCCAGATCTCGCTGGACTCCATCATCCCTGATCACTGGCCATGCTGGCTGAGACTGATGGGAGCTGTAGTCCCAACAACCTCTTGAGGGCATCACATTAGCTGCCCCTGGACTGAAGGCTGGTAGAAATCTTTGCCCTTGTAGGCAAGACATTGGATTACATGGCATTTGTTTGTTTCTACCTTTCCATTCCTTATGCTGATATTTCAAATGGTGCGAACTTTGTGAATGAAAGGGGGGAAAGTGAAGCTGTGTGTATTCATTCACAATGTAAAGAGAATAGGCAAGCTGAATCAGTGATGAGGTGAGTGCCACTGTCACGGAAGAAATACTTCTAAACCCTCCACTATTTGATAAATCAGGAAAGGGCCACTCTTGGCCTTACAGTATAAATCAACTGTTGTCAGAAAGCTGCAGTTTGAGCATTACAGACATCATAATGAGGAAAGACCGGTCAAACGTATCATCAAGTTAACAATAACACAGACATTTGCAATTATTATATTCTGGTGCACAGAAAGCAGCTATGGAGAAGACACATGCAGGTTAGGATTACTAGTTTGCATGAAAAAATAGCTGGGTCACTTTCAAATTTGCATGTATTATATCACTTCAATGAATGTAAATGTTTAAATTGCCTGTTGTCTACTACTGATGCGGAGCAAAACAAAGAAGAGAAAGGTTATCAGTCTCACTAAAAACTGGCATTGCCTAGCGTGCGTATGTTCTCAGAGGATATCCAAGATGGCAAAAAAAGCTTTCTTCTCTGCTAATAAATGAATTTACAGACCCCTGCCAAGGTTAAACTAATTGAAAATAATAATGCATGCCTTTATTAACTTGCGTGTTTTAAAATTCCCAATGCTAAATATATTTGTGAGGATTTGGATATTAACTCACAATTTGCACTCTGTTCAGCTGAAATGCAAAGATCTAAATAGATGCACAGCCTATTAAACTACTTTGGATCGCATGATAATAACATGCACAATGGCAGCAAAAGTGCTGCTGTATACTTAGGTATGTGTGGAAAACTGTCCAGTTTTGTTCCACTTGGTACTGAGGTTTTTAAATTTATTACGGTTGCAAACACAAAGACCCCGGGATACAGGTTGCTATTAGGACACTTAACAAAACCACACCAGCATGGAACTTAAACTTGCATCAGGATGCTGGCAATCTAGTTTGCTAGGTCTGGCATGGGCAGGCCTGGCCCAAGACACCTGAGGCAAACCATAAAATGGAGGAACGAAGTGGGAGTGAAGATCTACATTGGGAATAAGGACAGGGAATAAAGTCAACCTTGCCCAATGTTTGAAGGCAGGCACATATCCCAGCAGACCCCCGAAAGCAGCTCCCACCATTTCCTCTCTAGGTGTGGGAGGAGGCTATCAGTGCCCATTATTCACTGAGAGGCCACTGTAGAGGCAGTCGCCTCACCTTGCCTCACGGGTGGGCTGGCTGGGGTTATGGGCAAGTAAGAGTTAACAAGATCTGATCTGGCTGATACCAGGGTAGGCAAGCAGGCGAGAAGCAAGTTCTGAGAAAGGTTTCAGGTTGCTCAGGAAGATGGTTCACAAATGGTACAGGGAAGTTCACCTCTGGTCCTCCTCCTGCTGCACTGACAAACCATGAGCTGAAAACCTAAGAGCAAACCTTGGTTACAGCTCACGGTTTGCCACAAGCCCAGCTTCAGATGACATGCTAAGCCAAACCACGGCTTAGCTCGCAGCAGAATCACAGGAGAAGTAAAGCGGCCACAATCTCCTCTCCGGGAACTGGTGTGTTTATGCTAAGCTTGCCTTAAAGTTATGCAAGGGAACTGTGAGGGGAGAGACTCCATCAGGTAAGGCCTCCTTCCACCTGCCTTGTTCCACCCTCTAGTCTCTGCTTCTCAATTTGTATTGTATTATTTTATGTACTGTGGCTTGCCGTTGTTTTACTGATTATAGTTTAGAAATTATTTATTGTAACTGTTGAGTGGATTTCTGTTTAACTATTATATGTTATTATTATTTTTTGATGTAGGTTGCTTACTTTAAAGTTTTGTTTTATTATCACATTTTTTTAGCGCATTAGATTGTTATAAGATGTACATTTTTTGTTTCTTCAGCTTGTAAACCGCCTTGAGTATTGTAAGATAGAAAGATGGTATACAAATTAAAAATGATGATGATGCGTGACTAGAGTAGGTTCCAAGTCAATAAAGGTTAGTCAAGACCTCTTGCTGCTGCTGCTGCTTCTTTCTTCTTCTTCTTCTTCTTCTTCTTCTTCTTCTTCTTCTTCTTCTTCTTCCTCCTCCTCCTCCTCCTCCTCCTCCTCCTCCTCCTCCTCCTTCTTTTGCTGAGTCAGTGTAGTAAGAAGTTGCTGCCCCACTTACAAACCATTAGGAGTGGGGAAAGTACAGTGGTACCTTGGGTTAAGAACTTAATTCGTTCTGGAGGTCCGTTCTTAACTTGAAACTGTTCTTAACCTGAGGTACCACATTAGCAAATGGGGCCTCCCGCCGCCACAGCACGATTTCTGTTCCCATCCTGAAGCAAAGTTCTTAACCCAAGGTAGTATTTCTGGGTTAGTGGAGTATGTAACCTGAAGCGTCTGTAACCTGAGATACCACTGTACTGAGTTGGGGCTGGGGAGATTCAGGTTCAAAACCAACTCATCCATAAAAGCGACTTGAGGGAAATCCTATGTGTGTCGCCCTGGAGAAAAGGGCAGGATAAAAACATGAAAGGGTAAACTTGACAGGAAGTGAATGCCCCGGGTAGTCAGTCACATTTGTCTCAGCCATGCCTCATTCTACGCTGGTGGGGCATGGACGAAGTCCTGAGATAAGAGTCAAAAAGCAGCAGTACCATCAGACCAAAGGCCAGAGTCAAGTCCTGGCAGTGGAGCAAAGGCACAAGCTGGAACATTATCCTGATGCCAGAATAAACCTTTCAGCCAAATCCTTTGAACCACTGAAGGTCATTCGGGATCTCAGCACCACTGAGATCAATTTGCTCAAATTCACGTTAACTAATATAACCCAGCTGGAAACATCAACCAATAAAAGCTTAGCACAAAATGTTTAGGCTGCTTAAGAGTAAAGTTTCTGAACAATCCCTGAGGGCATCTAGATATTCCGAGCGCAGAAACAATGGAGAAGTGTTGTTAAATGAAATCTGTATGTTGTGCCAAAACGTCTCGAACATCAAAGCACAGCTTCTTCCTCTACACTAAGAAATTATCACTACAGATAGATAAATCGGAAACGGTCACAAAGTTCATTTTAGAGAATAAGACAGCAAATAATTGGCTCATTAGGACAAATATCAACGTTTTTTGATCTGCAAGGGTTTAGGAAGTTTAGACTATATATTTTTTTTTAAAAAAACAACAACTTACACAGATATAGTTGGTAGAGTCTATTTTTTTTTAAAAAATGTATAATTACACATGTTCTGCTTCTCACAAAATTATCATTTTTCACAGCTGCTCCAGCAAGCCAGGAAGAGAGCTAGTCTACCGCATATCCAGAGTTTCCATGATAATACATGTGACTAAGGATCACTTGAACCAAAGCAAAATTAACAGCTCTGATTCTGGTATCATACGAGGAAGAAGGAATAATCGAAAGACGCCCAAAAGAACCATCTGCCTCGTTCCAACTTATCAGAAGAGAACTCCTGCAGGGGATCAGATCAAACCACCTCTAAACCTAAGATGTTTTAATTCCAAGTCATCTAAGCACTCTCCCTGCCTGCCCCCAAATTAAAATTGATTGACAATTCCTAAACTAGAGAACACCACACTGAATACAAATACATTGCTATAATCAATTCTATCTGAATTTTTAAAATATGTATGTCAATTCTTTTTGCATATTTATGCTGCCCCCAAGTAAATGCTAAAAATGCTAATGTGTAAAAGATTCAAATTTTTTTTATATTTAGAGACAGTGTTATTTTATCCTTCTGTTTTAACAAACTTCATGCATATGCTTCTACACTAAAAAAAATTCTAGATATGAATAAAAACAATGCTCCACCGCTTACCAAGGGAATAATAAGAAAAGATTTGATATGATGCCATTATTTATTGTGATAAAATCTTATTCAAACAATGTATCTGTTCTGTGTGACTCCACTTAAACTGAACTAGCTTCATGCCAATTTAGATCTGTATTTTCCCAGTTATTGCGCCGACACAACATACAATTCAGAATTCTTTTATTTAGTTCTTTGGCTTTGAGCAATGTAATATTTGTGGCTCAGAACCAGCTAAGTTCCTTTCTGCATGTGTGTTGGCTGTTCAATTTATCCTGACTTCCTGCATACTTGTTTTAAATGCATGGTTAAACTTAGTGTGCATAAAACCAACACATAAAACCAAAAGCTCTATGAAATTAATTTTCTTTAAAACTACAGGCAAGCTCGGAGGCAATTTTGTTTCCACACTGCAATATATTCAAAACCACCACACACACGACTTTCAGCAGGTATACTACTACTGAATCACCTCTTTCCTCTGTTAAAAATAAAAAATGATACAGGAGATGATAAAATTATGACTAATATATTAATAGTATATTAGAACATATAATTATTATAACTGGCACCTGCCTTTCTTTCTTTCTTTTAAAAAAACCCACCTTTTAAAAAATCCCTCTTTAAAAAATGAAAAAGATAATGGAATGAAATAAATATGGTTTTGAATGTCATTACAAATTTCAGAATCTATTCTCACTGATAAAAATTTGTATGCTGTGTTTGAGCAAACTGTCATGTTAATCACATTCCTCAGTCTGGTGGCTTCAGTAATAAGCAAGCTGAAAGGTAGGTGCTATTTTGTTTTTGTTAATGTAGTTGATGGGCTCCCCCCTTTCCAACACCCTAAGAGGGAAAAACAGAATTCCCATTTACTTTTCCTGACCTCTGATTTAAAAACAAAGATTGCACATTATTTACTACTGGATGATTTCCCTGGAATTTAATGAGGACAAAGTACAAATATGACAGATGTAATTATCATAGTTTTATTCTGCACAGTCAGGGTCTCCTTGTGCTGTAATTGCAAGCTTTTCATTCAACCGCTGGCAGCAGAGTTATTACCTCGGTATTTTATGTTATTTCAGAGAACAGGAAAGAGGACTTCCAGCTCAGTTTTATTCCAAGGAATCTCTAAGCATCCTCGCATTGGAATAGTAATTAAAAACAACAACGATCAGCAAGATATTTCATCAGATCTCTTTGCAGATTTCTCTCCTTGTTGCTTTTTGAGCGCATTAAGTGTAAAAAAAACCACACACAAAAAACCCTGGGTTTTCACAACGTATTGGGAGGGATGGGAAAGTGGGGGCAGGGAGGGGGGCTGCTAAGCAGTTTCGAGAAAGAAACATGTGGGCAGGTGGCCAACGCATTGTCTGGTGCAAAGAAGGGCTCCCCCAGCATGTATTGCTTTACTCATTTAGACTCAAGCCAAGGTTGAGTGAGCCCCAGCTGGAGGCTGGACCACTGACCCTGGAGCTGGAAACACACAACTATACGCACACCCCTGGAAGCCTCCCTTTCCAAGGCCTGAAAGTAATTGCTTTATATTACACTCCGGCTTCATCAAGCCCCTCGCATGCCGAAGGGAGGCGAGTGGAAATAAAAAAACTTTCTAGTCCAATTCATAGTTTATAGCTCTAGCGTTATTAATTTTCCGTTTGGAATACAGGACAATTCTCACCTCACATCCAAAGGCTTCGTGGCATCAAATATGCCATTTTATTGGCACGGTAATTGCTGGAAGCTATTAAATTTTGAACCACTTCATTTATTTATTTTGAATTTAAAAAGATTATTTGTAGTTGGTGAAGAAGATCAAACCACTGTTATTTCAGGTCTCCACACATCTGCTACGTTTCATTAGCCTTTCCTATCTGTTCTTGGCTAGACTAGGGTTAAGTTCTCAAAACAAACAAGAGATGTTTTTAGCCCATCAGTATGAAAGTTAACAGGAGCAAGTTCTCTGCTGAGGACTTGAAGCTTACTACTAATATTGCACTTACAAAATATCATGCACCTTCAATATCATGAAAATAGTTAACACATTTTAAATATGGAACCAGTAAAATTACCAGACAATCATGGCATTAAAAAGCTATTTGTTCCTGTCAATAAAGACACATCAAGCAAGAATGAAGCAGAATTTTAAAACATTCTGATGTTACCCTAAAGCATACTTTGCTCTTGGAAACAACCAAGGACTGTGAGACAGCTTGTGTGACACACAGTGAAGCCACATTGAAACATCTATTTTGGCCAAACACAGTTTGATTTGTGTGAAACTGTAATGACTGGAAGAATTTGGACTGAGGTGTGAGAAATGGGACTAGATTTCAGTTACCCTTTGTGAACTCTGAAAGGAAAGGAAAACAAAACAAAGTTCTGATTCTGTTTCAGTTCACTTCCTGCAATGTCACAAATTTTGCCAGTCTAAATTATCAGGGCACACAATTTTGCCGTACAATAAATACAAAATGGCTACTTGGCTTTAAGGTGATCCCAATGTCTTTCCTCAAGATAGATGCTGTTTCAGAGGGCATCTGCTGTACCTTACCAACAATATTTTGTCAATGGGGAAAAGCAATTCTTCCCACAGCTATGGGAATGATAACGAACAGTAAGAACAATCACTATGTCCCCAAGATATAAGGAGTTTTACTAAAACCTATTGCAGGGAGCTGGGCAAGTATTTACTCTCCCACCCAGAAACTCCCGAAACTCCCCATTTATCTAAACTCTCACACTGTGGCATTCTTAGCCAAATGATTAATACAACTACTGAGAGAATACCCATTGTACATAGCTGCTATCAGAAGCAGGCAAACTGCTGGCCGCAAAGTCACAGGAAGGGAAATATTGGAGGGATGTCGCCATGTGGACTCAATAAATTGCTATTATAACTTGCATCACAATCAACCTTTTTCTTCCATCAGAACTAACGTTTTAGTTTCAAAAAGGCAAAGTAGTATTTTTTTTGTTTTATACTTACAATAGGACTTGCGTTGATGTAGTCCGAGTTGTCGTGACTGTTTTCAGCTTTCAAACATATCCTGCAATGATCATCTGATTTTTTTAAATAAAAAAAAGTTAAAATCAGTATTAATTCATATTTATGTTAAAAGAGATCTTTCAAAGAGCATTTCTGAACAGACCACTACTATTCAGCCTGTTTTTTTTTTGCATACTTGCTTCTAAATATAGACATTTCCAAAAGACTGATTTAAATGGTTAAGAACCATATAAAAAGAGTTCTTGAAATGGAACTTGATATGTTGAGGAATAATTGCTATTAGGCAGGTGCCTTCGCTGTATTGTTTTCAGCGCCTGCTAAAAAAATAAAATGTTTTTATTTACACAAGTCTTATCATATATTTTTTTGAAAAGAGAACTACTGATTTTATTTCTAGCTTGATACATTTTAACGCAACATGTTTTTAATGTTTGGTTTTATCAGTATTTTCAAATGACTATTTTATATCATTTTATGTAAACAGCTTAGCAGTTTTTTTTATGATGAAGCAGTGTATAAACCTCGCCACATAAATAAATCAGTAAAATGTTTGGGTGTCTAACAAGTTCACTTAAAAACACACAACAATGTTTAATATAGACTGTGCTTCAGGTTCAGTAGCCCCTAGCAAGGGCATTAATGATGCCAAACCTTTCCGTGTTCCTTCTCTTTTTGAGCATGACAATGCTTAAAGACCGTTGCCAATAATAACAGGTTTATATTAAAGGGATTTCCACACCAAGTTCATATGTAGGGTAGCTGATGAAATTTAATAAATAGCGTCGATCTCATGGTACAGCCATGTGCATTCAGTCTGATGTACAATACAGAATGTTTGATACACCTACCAGAATAAGCAAGTACATGGAATAGGAATGTGCTGCTTTTGGCTGAGCATGAAGAGCACAAAAAACTTTTAAAACACATATATGCCCTGGCTACTCTCGGCTCCACTTTCCATCCTAGGCCCAACACGGAGAGCAGCTGCCTTGTAAGCTCATCTATCAAAACCAGCAGGTGCTTATACACTTGACTGGGTCTAACCGTTCTAACTACAAGCCAAGAGCATCGTGCACTTTTGGATAAAGGTATTTGTGTCCAAAAGCCATGCGCGAAAACCGCACCATGAGGCTGTCGAAATGAAATGTCCTTTACGCAAAACGGCACTTGCTGTTATCATAGAATTGTAGAGTTGGAAGGGACCGCGAGGGTCATCTAGTCCAACCCCCTGAAATACCTGAATTTTTTTTTTGCCCTACATGCTGGGGCAAAATATGATAGGGGTGATATGATAGCCATGTTCAAATATATAAAAGGATGTCACATAGAGGAGGGAGAAAGGTTGTTTTCTGCTGCTCCAGAGAAGCGGACATGGAGCAATGGATCCAAACTACAAGAAAGAAGATTCCACCTAAACATTAGGAAGAACTTCCTGACAGTAAGAGCTGTTCGACAGTGGAATTTGCTGCCAAGGAGTGTGGTGGAGTCTCCTTCTTTGGAGGTCTTTAAGCAGAGGCTTGACAACCATATGTCAGGAGTGCTCTGATGGTGTTTCCTGCTTGGCAGGGGGTTGGACTCGATGGCCCTTGTGGTCTCTTCCAACTCTATGATTCTATGGGAAGTAGTGCAAAGCATACTTTGGAAGCAGCAGCAGCAGCAGCATCCACCATGAAAAGTCTGAAGCACACAGCAAGACAAGATGGGCCACAGGAATATTAACTGTTCCTTGCACAGAGTGGCTGATAACAGTTCTTTCGACACATTTCCTCCGCTAATTGCAGCAACAGGCAAAGGGGAAAGCAATTAAGTAATGAATCCAGCTTAAACTGTACATACACGCAACCACATCTTGTGAGCGGTTCTTCTGGGCGTTTTCTTCCTTATGTGCAATGGTAGCTGCGTTGGGCTCAGCCTGATAAGCACAAAGTGCTTCCCATTCTTTCTCCAGGCGATTCTTGTTCTTCAAGTGGTCTTCCATATAGGACTGAAATGAGGAAATTTCAGAGGTAGTATTATTTATACACTCAACACTCTGCTATTCCAATTAAAATCTGAATGGACTAGAGAGGACAAAAACCAGGCATATGCAAACTCCAGCCCTCCAGATGTTTGGGACTACAATTCCCATCATCCCTAGCTAACAGGACCAGTGGTCAGGGATGACGGGAATTGTAGTCCCAAACATCTGGAGGACCGGAGTTTGCCTATGCCTGACTAAAACACTTTGGCTCAAATTCAAGAACTGCTTGACTATGGCTGTCTGCCCAGGGGCTTGCTTCTTATCTATCATCTATCATCTATCTATCTATCATTTATTTATTTGACTTATAAACTGCCCTTCATCAACAGAATTCAGGGTGGTTCATAAGATAAAAGCAGAAATAAACATAAACAACAAAGCAGTAACCAACCACCTCCCACAAGGCTGAAGAATAGCCAAAGGCCTGGTTGAAGAGGAATGTTTTCGCCTGGTGCCTAAAATATATATAATGAAGGTGCCCTGGCGGGAGCATTACACAAACAGGGAGTCACTAAAGAAAAGGCCCGTTCTCGTGTTGTCACACAAAGAAAGGCCTTAGAGTCCAGGTCGGTTTATATGGAGAGAGGTGGTCCTAAGCCGTTTAAGGCTTCATCGGTCAAACCCTTATGGAACCCAAGTTTCTCAAAACAGCATAGCAAACTAGTTTTAAAGCTGAAAGAAGTTTCAAAAGCTGCTGGATCCCTGCAAAAGCAGGTTATGATATTGCTGAGCCAAAATAGGGCAGGGCAGGGCTGTGAAATAAGAATCAAGCTAATCTGCTGTTTGGCCATGTGGTGCAATTCATGAGTTCCACCTGAGCCACAAGACCCATGAATCTGGACTTCTGACATTAGAGTCAAAGTGAAGAAAACAGGAACAGAGTTGACTTGCTTCTCTGGTTTCCCCAACATCTGTGTACACATCCTCTTGTCTCATGCCTAGAAAGCATTGATCCATGCGGTTTTCTGCTGTCTAGGCATGAGTCAGAGAGGTTTTTACTTCTGTCCCGCTGCTCCCCCCCCGCAAAACTTGCTCTTTAGTGCTAAATCAGAGCAAATGTAAATCTGGAGAAAGACCGATTGGCATTTGCTCCAATTCTGTGGTAAGCAGCAAGTTTTCCCAGGGGCCGGTGGCAGGGCAAAAAGAAGTCCAGGGCCAAATTAGTCATGGTGTTAAATGTGTTCTTTGCATTTAACCTGCATATATTTTTTAAAATGTCATCACTGGGGTGGGGTAGGGGGAGGACTGATAATTAACAGCGTCAGGGTAGGAGGCAATAAAACAAGGAAGTAGCACAAGAATGGCAAGACAAAGCAAAACTAACTGAAGTGAAGATCACACTGTAGGCGTCCCATGTGAAGAACAGGCTGGTCCTAGCTTGAACCAACACAATGCACTTTTATATAATATGCTTACTCTTCTCCTAAACCAGTCAGACTCCAATTCAAATCAAATTGAATTGTAATTTGATTACAAATTCTGTAATTTTGTAATAGTCCTTTCAAAGTTTCCAGATAAGTATTACCAAGACTGTGATGCATGCATACTCTTGTTTAATTCATATATATATTACAAAAGGTAGGGGGTAGATTCAGAGAATTCAAATTAACAAAAATAAATAATATATATTATAAAAGAAATGTAGGAGATAGTTGTTAAATGCATATTTTTTTAAAAAAATCCAGCATGAGCTTATATTGTTAATGAAAAAAGTTTTCTGTTTTTTTGAGGTGCAAAAGATAATAGAACTTGTCACATTTCTTGTTTTGTTTACAGTAGTCAATAAGGGTTCCAAAAGTATGTCATGGGATATTAATTTTTTGTGTGCATCTTAAGACCTTGCACACAATTCAACAAGTCCTCATGCAATGTCTGACCACATAACCCTACATCAAACTACTGAATTCCTGGCAGTTTGGCAATAGGCAGGGGGGAGAAACCCCACTTTTTTGACTTTGAGATCATGTCACCCCACTACAAATTTATTTGTATCTTCTTCCTGCATATCCTGATTAATTACTAAAGAATAAAATACTTCAGAAACTTCAGAAGAATTTCATACATATAAATAATTCCAGCCTAGCTGCATCTTCAGAAAGGACACTGAAGAACTGGAGCAGGCACAGAAAGGATATGCAAGACTTCATACTTATGAAGAAGAGTCATCCATTAAATCTGATAAGCAGCCAATATAACTACAGTAATACCTGGGTTCTCAAACGCCTTGGTACTCAAACAACTTGGAACTCAAACACTGCAAACCCGGAAATAAGTGTTCTGGTTTGCGAACTTTTTTTGGAAGCCAAGCGTGCTCTGTTTTGAGTGTTATGCTTCCGATCTGAGTGACACACATCCGTTTTGAGTGTTACGCTGAGGTCTGTCTGTTTTTGCTATTTATTGTGTCTTTTTGTGTCTTTTTTGTTTTGTTTTTGTGACTGTGTGGAACTCAGTTCAGCTACTGACTGATTGCTTGCTTGTGTGACTGCAGTACATTGTTTATTGATTTCATTTTATGGATCAATGGTCTGGTTAGATGGTAAAATTCATGTTAAATTGCTGTTTTAGGGCTTGTTTTTTAAAGTCTGGAACGGATTAATCCGTTTTGCATTATTTTCTATGGGAAAGCATGCTTTGGTTTTGGAATGCTTTGGTTTTGGAACAGACTTCCGGAACGGATTAAGTTTGAGAACAAAGGTACCACTGTATTACTACTTTGTGTTATGCATAATAAGCCCATGAACACAAATCACAACAGATGCTGTGATATCCATGGGGCATCTCTCTAGCAATCTATTAGCCATGATAGCCAAAATAACAGGAGGTGCATATTTCCAACATACCCTGAACTTTTCACTAAGACTGTTAGTAGACCATTGGTTTGACTCAACTTAGCAATTTCTATGCTTCCACTAACAGCACAGTCCCAACACATTTTTACTAAAAAGGTCCACTTATTTCACTTGAACTTATTTATTATTAAATTTCTACCCCGGTCTTCCTTCCAAAGGAGCCCAGGGCAACTTACAAATAAAAAAGCCAAGATAGCAGCCTATGAAGTCGCTCCTTCTATCTCCCAGAAATGGAGGTGATAATGAATACATTAGGTTTTTCCCTTTCCTTTCTACCAGTTTAGTAAAATTGTGATGCCATCCTTCTAATTGTACAGTGAACAGTATCAATGCTGATCTTCCTTGCAAATCAAAACATGCATTTGTTTGTGTGAAAATGCTGCCTGAAGTATAGTCTAATTTTCTGCAAAACATTCATGCACATTTGCAAGCTGGTTTATGGAAATCATATCTGCCAAGGGCAGTCAAGCTAAAAATAGAGGCATTTGCAGAAGTGGGAAAACTGTGAGAGGAGTACACATTTATTGCCACTGAGATATTTTGGATTATAAGATTTGTTTTGATGGAGGCAGTGAGAAAATGCTGGTACTTGAAAACCACAGTGCCACCTATGTCTTTGGTCTTTCCAAGGTTCTGTGGTACTGTATTATTTTGATGTGAAAGGATTATCCCATTAGATTAAAAGGCATTTGGCACACATAAAAAAGACACCTCATAAAATAGATTTCCAAAGATTATACAACAATCCTTTCAGGGATTGGGGGGGGGGGGGAGCTATATCTTCAAAGCTCAAACTTCATCTGATTTTCAGTGGCCCAGTAAGCCTTCATAACTACAGAACCCTGCATAACTACAAATGGAGCTTTGTGAAAACACCTGGATCTGCCTTTGAAACCAGCTTAGTACTGCAATGGTAGCCAAAGTTCCACCTGCTGAAAATTCTCCACCCTGTGCAACTACTGCAGAAACAAAGCAGCCCTTGAGTATGGCAACTCTGTGGATCATTTCGTGCATGCAAAACAGCTACTTCGGGACACAGAAAGCTGCCTTCTACCGAGTCAGGTCATTGGTCCATCTAAGACAGTAGAATTTGCACTCTGCAGGGTTTCACATGAGGGCCTTGCTCAACCCAACCAGGCAATATGTGGCATTGAACTTGTTATGCACAGCATGTGTTCAGCCGCAGAGCTACAACTCTTCCGCAGTTACGGAATACTCTCCATGAAAATGTGATGAAATCCCATTGTATAAACTTTATCCATTTTTTTTTTTTGACCTGAAATCATTTTAAGAAGACATGATGACACTTCTGTGAAAACCTGGCTGTGTCCTTAACAAGATGAATACAGGTACTCATCTTACCACAACTACATGGTTGCTTGGCCAGCTGTTTCAACGACACTGTATTTTTCTTCCTGGCCTCAATTCTCCTATGTGCTAAGCTGTGGGGTCCTTATCCAAGTGGTAAGGTTTACTCACATTTTTCATGTGATAAGCCTGTCTGGCTAAATTGCTACAGTCCAGACATGCTAACAACTTCAGTGTCTTCCCATCTCCAACAACTCATGCTTTTCAAAGTGTTGGTTTTTTAGAATGGAGAAAATCGTACCTGCTTTCTCCTAAATTCTGGTTATGAGTAACACTGGAAATTGGCATACAGAAGTGATTTAAGATTAACCAGTCTTCATCAGAATTTTGCTTTGTTTATACAGTGTGCTGGGGGGGAGAATGTGCATAGCTCTTATGCTCCTAAAAAGGCAAACAATAACAAGGCACCATGCTGAACATGAACTGCAGACTAAAATAAATTTGCAGGAAACATACAAACGTTTGTCAAGTGCAATTAAAAAATAGTAATTGAGATGACATATAACTTTTCCATCTAAATCACACATTTTAATTTATGCTTCTCTAAGCATAGGTAAGGGACGTGGGTGGCACTGTGGGTAAAACCTCAGTGCCTAGGACTTGCTGATCGCATGGTCGGCGGTTCGAATCCCTGCGGCGGGGTGAGCTCCCGTCTTTCGGTCCCAGCTCCTGCCCACCTAGCAGTTCGAAAGCACTCTTAAGTGCAAGTAGATAAATAGGTACTGCTTTATAGCGGGAAGGTAAACGGCGTTTCCATGTGCTGCGCTGGTGCTGGCTTGCCAGAGCAGCTTCGTCACGCTGGCCACGTGACCCGGAAGTGTCTTCGGACAGCGCTGGCTCCCAGCCTCTTAAGTGAGATGAGCACACAACCCTAGAGTCGGACACGACTGGCCCGTATGGGCGGGGGTACCTAGGTAACCCCTAAACTAGATTCGGTAGACAAAAACTTGTCTTCTGGGAAACCTTGGCATTGGTAAACTTAGCAGACCTATATCAACTGAAACCTACCCAGCAAAGCATGATGCCACATTCTGTGTTTCCAGGTTCATTTGTATTGATATCAATACAAAAGGTTTTCCACAGAGCATCTCGCAAAATGGTGGCTACCATTATAAAAGCTTCCCTATTTTAATAAGCAAGGTAATAATCCCCCAAGATACCTGCTTTTAGGTTATCCCTCAGTGAGAAACTGCAACTTCTGTAGCCCCTGCTATTCTGCAAAGCTCTTGAAACAAATCTAACTTCAATTCCCATTATGACATTTGGAAGAAATTTGTCTCAATTTACTTGCATATTGTTGAAACCGGGGCATGGCAAAGCTGCTAAGGAACCTCTTGCCCTTAGATGAAGATCCTAAAAATATTTCCAAACGGAAGTGTCAGGCCAGCAGATTTAGCAAGTCTGGCATCTTCAGACCACACAGGGACTATGTCAATCCCTATTTTTCATTTCCAAATGGTTGTAAGGAGGACCAGAACAGGAGGCATAACTGGTGCAAAACCAGCTAGTGCACTGCCAAACCCCCACACTCAAGAGAAATTTCTTGTTTGGTGTACTTCTTACTATATTCCCAATACAGACACTTCCATTGCTGGGGAAGCTCTTGTCTCAGCCAAAGAAAGCAGCTTCCTCCTGTTAAGAGGGGAGCTGTCCTTGGTACCAAAATATGTACTTTAGATGTGAATAGTACACCCATTCAAGGAAGAGATGTGCTATTGTTAGGTCAACTGAAGCTTAAAGCCCCGCTAATAGGAACGGAAACATACCGGTAATTAATGTTAAAGATTTGTATAACGTGGGCTTGATCTGTATTTGAGGCCTGCAGTATCGGAGGCAGTATGTCTCTAAATACCAGCAGTATGGGATCATGAGCAGGAAACTGCTTTTGTTTATGATTTTGGCTTACCACTGTGAGAGCAGAATGCTAGACTACATAAGCCACTGGTTGGCTCCACCAGGGCTCGTCTAACATTCTTATAAAACTTGTTCCATCTACCTGTTCTTACCTAGGTGCCAGTTTTTGCTCAAACACCAGTTTCCACCACTTCACATTAAGTTGGTGGATGTAGAACTGTTCACCAATACTGTCATATTTAAGGTTAAGATGTTGGAGAAATTATGAGCTGCTAGGCTCAGTGGCAGAGAATATGCTTTGCACAGAACACGTCCCGGGTGTTAGTATTTCATGCAGTCTGATGCTGCAGGTGAGATTGTTATAAATCACATGCCTGTCTGGGACGTGTCTGAGAAGACTATGGGAACGGAAGACAGCCTTATCTCTCTTCTGCTGTATGTACTTTGTAACGTACTTTCACTTTGGTTGTTCTCTGAGAGCTGGAGAGAACAGATGCCATTATGCCTTTGTCTGTACATAGTGTGGAAATAAATAGTAGTTTCGCTCTACGACGCCTCAAGCTTCTTGCTGTGTTAAGCCAGAAGATTAGTGTGCATATATCAAGCTGATATATGTCGCTGGGCGCCCTGGAGAAGAAGGGAGATGCCTTTTTTAGTGCTGCACACATCGGAGGACGCTTGGAGTTCCGGGGGTTTGCAGGCCACCCTGGGCATTTTCCAAGACTGGGTTTAATCCCTAGCACCTCCAGGTAAAACCCTGGACAGCTGCTACCAGTCAGTACTGAGGTAGATGGAGCAAGTGTATGCTTAAGTGTAAGGGAATTTGTTGCCCATGCTGTTTGACCCCTTCAGCAGAGCTGCAATGCACTTTGCATGAGACTGTACTTGAAAACTGTACAACTGGTGCAAACTGTACAGCACCACAACTTTTGCAGGTATGTAGGTGCCTACCACACCAGTTCTCTTCTGCTTGCATTAGCTGGCTTCGAGGAGCGACCCAAGATGCTGGCATTTAACTTGTAAATCTTAAGCTCAGTGTACTTGAAAGGAACATAGTCTTTCTTACGAACACTGGAAGACAGAGCTTTTCCAGTTGTACCCTTGTACAGTGTCTTGCTGAAGTTAAGTTTACCTGACATTTTATTTATGCTGTTTTTATGCTACCCTTCTCCCAAGGTTCCCCCCACTCTGTTTTATCCTCACATGAACTCTGTAGCAAAGCTAAGAGATGGTGACTGGTCACTGAGCTTCATAGTCAAGTGTGGATTTAAATCCAGGTATCCCTGGACTGGATCCTGGCCAATATGCTAATTACTACATCACACCTTCTGCTATGTAGCTTCAGTACCATGCTCACAGTTTGGAGTATATATGCTTATACTAGCGCTGGACTGTCACAGTGTCATAAGGCTCATTCATGTAACTATGATGGGTTTTGCTGGTATATGGAGCTACGTAGTGGGTTTTTCTTATTTTAGTTACTGCATACTTCTGCTGATTAATGGAATGTGGTAGCTTCCTGAGTTTTTTAAGTTTTAAGATAATTAATTAATTGTACACTATTGTTTAGTCCCGGACAGACTGTTGGAGCAGATGTCTGAAAGAATAACTAAAGGCATATCCCCACCCCTTGGCCTAGCATACATTACATAATTTTTCTATGAACTCTACAACCAATCATAATAAAGTAAGACATGAATATAAAACTCTCACCAAGTCCGTACCAAAACCACATCCACATCTTGTGTACATCCTCTAAGTCATGGAAAACCATTTCTCCCCAATTTGCTTAGAACTCCCTTGATTTATAATTCAGACAGCCAGATCACCCCCAAATGGAAAATTACAATTAAGGTAAGGATGCACAAGAAATCTTAAGTCTTGATTTATAGGCAAACATTGTTGTAGCAAACCTGTATGAAACTAGGTAACACTTAGGTTAATGCAGCACATCTCGTGTGTTTATGTTGTGTATGTATATATTTGGCATAAAATACAGATATTATCATCATATATATATATGAATTCATTAATAATTTTTTTGCCAACTGAAAGGAGGTTTTGAGGTCCAATGATGAAACCACGACCTTTTAATTCTTAATGGTGGTTTGTGCTTTTAAAGAACTGGCACAAATGAAGACATCTCAAGTGAGCCAAACCTTATTCAGAGATTGGTCAGCACAGCTAACCATGGCTCAGGGCAGGTTTTTCTAAACCTTATACAATAGCTGTAATTACACACACACAGCTAGAACGGGCCACCCACTAAGTTGCAAGTAGACAACCCTGTTAACTGGATCCATCTTGGAAAAGATCCAACTTCACTATACAGGACCTTCCTTGATCTGCTTCATAATGTTGCTCTCTAAAGAGTCCATGTCTGAAGCAGGCTGGGAGAAGGCTTCCCTTTAGCAGCAACCAGGATAGGAGGATGGAGCGGGAAAGACATGGAGGCTTATTTGCCTGGCATATATGCACTCCTGGAAAGAAGGAATCCTATCATGGGATCATTTCACACATTCCGCTAAACTGTTCTCATTGTTGTTTTAAAAGCACTAGGGCTTAATGTGAATGAGCAGTGTCTTCTCCATGGGGCAAAACAAGCCAGAGTCTGGTTGGACCTGTCATCTGGACCTGGGCTCATGGTTTTGGGTTGAGGAGAACAAACCAAGTCTGGTAAGCCAAGAACAAACTTTGGTTACCACTTGAGGTTTTCGTTTGAAGATAAAGTACAAGTCCAGGTTCGTACATCATAACAAAGCCTACCCCTTCCTTGTTTTAATAATAATAATAATAATTTTTATTTATACCCCGCCCTCCCCAGCCAAGGCCAGGCTCAGGGCGGCTAACAAGCAAGAATAAAAACAAGTTGAATGAAAACAACTTATAAACAAGATTAAAATACAACATTAAAATATTGAAACATTAAAATATTAAAATGCAGCCTCACCACAGGAGGAGAAAGGAAAAAGAAAAAAGAAAGAGGGGGAGGGAATCAAGCTGGCTCCAAGCCAAAGGCCAGGCAGAACAACTCTATCTTACAGGCCCTGCGGAAAGAAATCAGATCCTGCAGGGCCCTGGTCTCGTGAGGCAGAGCGTTCCACCAGGCCGGAGCCAGTGTTGAAAAGGCCCTGGCTCTGGTTGAAGCCAATCTAACTTCCTTAGGGCCCGGGACCACTAGGGTGTTGCTATATATGGACCTTGAGGCTCTCCGTGGGGCATATCGGAAGAGGCGGTCCCGTAGGTAGACAGGTAGGTAGAACTGTTTTGTGTACAATTTGGCAAGAGCAGCTGAAATGGAGGAGGAGTGTTTATGAATTTTTGAGTTGTGTTGCTCAGCATGCTGCTGGTTCACATCAAGCTATCATTTGTTTTAAACCATGGCTTACTGTGACATGCAGAACAGTCCTGGTTTTGTTTAAAGCTGCAAAAGAGAGACCTTTGCCACATTAAGTGATACACTGCAGCTTTTAACAAAGCTAGAGGCTTCTTCTTCGGAAAGAACATTTTCTCTTGCAAGCCCCTCAGTTTCCATCTGCCTGTAGTAGTGACTGGAAGAAGTAACTGCTTTTTTCTCCACCAAACCAAACCAAACCAAACCAAAGAGTCAAAGGAGAAACCAAATCCACATTTCTTCACATCAGAAACGTAACACATGAAGCACTGAAAAAACCTGTGGGGAACAAGACACATTAGAAATGAATATTTTTAGCTGCCGTGTACCTACTTGAATAACTGCGAGAGAGTAATCTCCATTGAAGCAGGTTACCACCTTAGATTGTTCCATGTTATTAGTATTGCAACTAGTGGGCCTAGTCAACAAATTACATGCTGGAATTGCAAATATGAATGGCTTTTATATGTGGCTTTCACTGAAAACAGGCTTCTAATAAGTGAGCCAAGTTGCTCAATGCACTTGTCAGTTGCTGAACTTTCTATCCCTCTCCCTCCACCCATGATGCAAGAAAAGATCTACTGCCTCCAATTCTGAGATAGGTGGACTTAGGTACTGATGTTGCTGAGATCATATGAAGCTGTAATAGGTCATACAGAGTTTGTAGCAATTGCTAAGACAAATGTACTTATTACACGATAGACTCCTTAGGTGATGCAAAACTCAACTCCCCATTGCTGCTATGCAATACTTCTGCTTTCTAACCAATTAAGATGGGAGGGGGCAGCAATTTTTATTGGGCTTGATGTGTCTCAGAGCAGGAGTTGGGTTGAAAAAAACACACTATTAAACAGAATTAAAACTGAGACCCATTAGCTCATCTCCTGCATCTCACGGATGAACTCATCCCCCAGAGGCAAATTCAGTAAATTAACACTTTTGTCATAAAGTGTCAGTTGCCTTCCACCATATAATGTATGCATTTCATGCAAACAGAATAAAACCCTCCCTCTTTCTGCAATTCATGCCTTTCCTATGAGATTTCCTGACCCCTCTCTACAGAATACATTAAAAGCACTAAAAACTGTTTCCAGAGAGGTCACAGAGGAAAATGTTTTGTACGACAGCACATTGTTTTAATTATCTGCTCTCTGAAAAGCGCCAGATACTGACGTCTGGTTTCCTCCTCCCTATCTGGAGGAATAATGCCTGTACGATATAATCCAATGTGCTTATATCGTCTTCTTTTTGATAGTGCACTGCATTACTGTATGGGTGATAGAGGTCCCTCTGGTCCCCGACTCTGCACTCAGCTCTCACCTGTGGCTTTCAGCATGTGACAGTGGCAGCACCCTGGAAATGGCTTCGGCTGGCTGGCTAAACCGGGTGAGGGTAGCCAATGGGTCTTGAACACTTAGTGAATTATGGACTTCCTCTGCATGAGAAGACAGGCTCTGGTGGATTGAGCAGACAAGACCAATAATGGGTCCAATGGTCAAGGTGGTTTCTACCTGTACTGTCGAGGGAAGTGAGTGGCAGGCGGGGCTTGCCAACCTGGGAAGGGAGCCCATCTAGGAGAAGGAAAACTCTAATCTAAAATCTCTGCTGCTTTGTGGGATATCTTGGGGAGAAGAAAGGGCTACTGAGTACACACAGCACAAGTCTGGAGTGGAGATGGTTGGATGGTGTCTTGTAAGTCTCCTTCTGGCAACTCCGGCAGCCAAGCTGGTGCCAAACGTATTGCTCTGCTTTCCTTTGGAGCACATCAGCGAGGCTGAGACGAGGGTCTTGTTGTACAGGACCTCCATGCACACTGCCCAGGCTTGCACTCCAAGGAGGTCACTTTGGTGCTGCTAACACACCCTGTTGTCTCTAATAATAATAATAATAATAATAATAATAATAATTTATTATTTATACCCCGCCCATCTGGCTGGGCTTCCCCAGCCACTCTGGGCAGCTTCCAACAAAATATTAAAATACTGTAATACATCAAACATTAAAAGCTTCCCTAAACTGGGCTGCCTTCAGATGTCTTCAAAAGTCTGGCAGTTGTTGTTCTCTTTGACATCTGGTGGGAGGGCGTTCCACAGGGAGGGTGCCACAACCGAAAAGGCCCTCTGCCTGGTTCCCTGTAACTTGACATAGTCAGAGGCCAACAACAGCATCTGACCACTTTAAAGATTCAGTCTCGAAATTTTCTGGACCAGTCGATACAATACCACGGTGGGGTATGCTAGTCGATATACCAGAGTACCACAAAAAACATATTGGGACACTGGCAGCAACAGTGAAAAGCTCTCTTCAAAGTCTGTTAAGCCTTATTAAAACACTACTTGATGAAGGATTTTTTTTTTTAACCACAGCACACACAAAAAAACTTCTCCTTAACTATTAGACACTTTTAAATAAGGAGTACAATTTGGAAAGCATATTAATTATCCAAAATTAAATGAGGACACATTACATATTAATTGAATCAGAATTATATAAAGCACTATATTGCCCTGTAACCTTTTTTTAAAAAAAAGAGTCCTTGGCTCCTCCTAGGAATCACATTTTTTTTTGTACCTGAAGACAATTCTATGCTACGTTCCAGACTAAATGACACAATGAAATGTTTACACTAAATGGCAACCTATGTTCTATTTACTTAAATTAATATACTTGTTATGCAGTGGCCGTTGCTAGCTCTGCTTTTCATAATGCTCCAATAATAGAGTTTTGCAACATGTAAAAGGATTATTTCAATCCAATCAGCAGGTGCTGGGATCAGTGTGTGTCAGACAAACACTTGCTAATCTCCTTTCTTACACTTTGCAGCTGCCAAAGGTGCTCAAGTGAAATCCAAACGAAATTACTGGATACAACCTGGTAGGGACTGAGATGCAGGGCTTTGTTTCACCCACTTCCCTTTGGAACACCTGAAAATTACATTTTATTCTAACCATTGTTAACAATTCAAAGAGAACGGCATCAGGTATACATATTTTTAAAGAGGGCGTAAGAGAGAGCAGCAGCAAAACTACATACTTAAAAATGAAATAGTGTAAAAGCTCTTTCTTACACTATGTAGATACTGTTAAGTAGGTAAGCAATTTATAATCCTGATTTAGAGATTAATAGCTATTATTGGTGAGCACGGTACACTGAGAACATGTCTGAGATTTGCACAAAAGGGCTCCTAATTTATTATTCCTGATGTCTCTTAGACCTTAAAAATAATCCAAGTTATGCAATGAAGTTTTATCCCTGCAATTACTTTGTCTGAAATAAACCTTCAACAAAAGAGAGGGGACATTTGTCAAAGGGGGATAATACCTAACTCTTTTCACTTTTGCACAGCCTTTCATCTGACAATGAAAACCACACATACAGACACAGAAATCACCTCTCAGAACAAAAAGAGAGAGGTTATTTTCCCTTGTTTGTGGATCAAAGGAACCAATAAAAAAACCCCCAAAAAATAAAATAAAAGCAAAATTTACATCGTCCTTGAGTAATCACTGGTACTGGAATCTCATTATGACAAGATTGCTGCTGAAGAAGAATGGAGTAATTTCATTTAAACAATCCTCATGCTCCATTTACACAGGGACATCGTAGTTAAGGATTAGAGCCCAATCAGCGTAGATTGATTTAAATCAAGTTGCCCATTTTGAAATCCATATATTTCTTGGACAAGCATGCGTATTAACTGGTTGCTATAACAATTCAGATATCCCGGCATGCAATGAAAGATGATTGTTTACTATGAGCACTTTTGCACTACAAATTGGTATCAGCTTAGGACAGAGGTTTTCAACCTTTTGAGACCAACGGCTCCCTTAACCAACTACAGTGGTACCTCTGGTTAAGAACTTAATTCGTTCTGGAGGTCCATTCTTAACCTGAAACTGTTCTTAATCTGAGGTACCACTTTAGCCTATGGGGCCTCCCGCTGCCGCCGCAACGCCACTGCTATGCGATTTCTGTTCTCATCCTGAAGCAAAGTTCTTAACCCGAGGTACTATTTCTGGGTTAGTGGAGTCTGTAACCTGAAGCGTCTGCAACCTGAAGCGTCTGTAACCCGAGGTACCAATGTACATTCTTTCTGCAGCACCCCTGTGGGGCTCAGGAGCCCAGTTATGTAACCCCTTGCCAGCAGAGCTAGCAGCCTCTCACCCTTTCTCAAACACCCTCCCTTGTGGAGTGTTCCCTCAGCCTCCTCTCCTCTTTCCTTGGGAGTCCTTTGGGGAACTGCTGCTGTCGTTCCTGGTCTCTGAGCTGCCCTCTACCACCCCAAAGAGAGACCCCTCCCAGAAGCCTGCAGAACTTAGAGCCAGGGTTGCTGCAATAAACAGCTGCGCAATCCCTGGGGAGACAGAGATGTGAGAGGGCATCAGAGGAGGGAGGGAAAGAAAGAGGGGCAGAGGCCAGTCTTGCCCACGGCACCCCTGACCATCATTCAAGGCACCCCAGGGTGCCACAACACACTGGTGGAAATCCACAGGCTTAGGAAATAACAGACAGAGTTTGTTTTGGCTCTTTCTGTATACAGGCAAGAATGCAAAGCATAACTTACTTGGAGGGCAAGACAGAAATTGTAGACGTGTCGATTCATAAATAAGTCCTACTTAACAAATCAGGATTTACCTCTGAACAAACATGCATACAATTATGCTGCAAGTGTTTGGTATCCAGGTAAAATAGAATTCCTTCATAGAAATAGAAGTTAAACTGCATACATATGTAAAATGTATTAATAAAAAGGTAAAGGGACCCCTGACCATTAGGTCTAGTCGTGACCGACTCTGGGGTTGCGGCGCTCATCTCGCTTTATTGGCCAAGGGAGCCGGTGTACAGCTTCCGGATCATGTGGCCAGCATGACTAAGCCGCTTCTGGCGAACCAGAGCAGCGCACGGAAACGCTGTTGACCTTCCCGCCGGAGCGGTACCTATTTATCTACTTGCACTTTGACGTGCTTTCGAACTGCTAGGTTGGCAGGAGCAGGGACCGAGCAACGGGAGCTCACCCCATACAATTAATTGCAATAAAAACAGCATGGCACCAGCCCTTTCATTAAAACCAGTTAAGTTTCCAAAAGCCTGTTGGAACAAAAAAAAGTCTTCACCTGCCAGCAGAAGGACAAGGAAGGAGCCAGCCTAACTTCTCTAGGGAGGGAGTTTCAAAGTTGGGGGCAGCCACTGAAAAGGCCCTCTCCTGCACCTCTACCAAGTATGCCTGTGAGGGTGGTGAGACTGACAGAAGGGATCTTCCCGAAGATCTCAAAACCCAGAGAGGTTCATATGAGGGAATATGGTCTTTCACAAAGTTTGGACCTAAGCTGTGTGGGGCTTTATAGGTCATAGCCAGCACTTGGAATTGTGCCCAGACTGGTAGTATGTGTACCTGTCGTAGCAAAGGAGTCATATGCTCTCTACAGCAATCTCAATTCACACATTACCTTGTCCTCTTCTACCTCCTCAGCTGCTCAAGCATCATGTGTATTATGGGATGAGCTAAGTGGGGCCATTTATTTATTTACTTCCGCAAAATGCACAGACAACATTTCCCAGCTTCCAGGGTTGGTCAACACTTACAATCAATGCACCAATCTATAACAACAAACAAAAGAAGAACTGAACAAATAAAACAGAAGCCCCAATTTGATGCCAGATGGGGGAGGAAGTGTAAAATAAATGTCAAGCGCGAAATAAAACAAAGAAAAACAGCAGGCATGATGGAGCACCCCCTTGCCCCAGTCACTCCACAGAAAGGCTTTGGCAAATCAATGTCTGAAACCGAAGAATGAGGTTTAGGACAGTAATTTTAATACTGGAAAGAGGTGTTCCTTGAAGCCACTGGACTTTGCACTGAGATTTCTGAGTTAGCTTGGCACACAACATATCGGATAAGCCTAAACTAAATGCCGCAGGGACATGTGACAATTGCAGCGAATCAATGTGTTTCATTCCCACTACAACAGCACCCCCTTATTCTGCAAGCATTCTGCACTCCACAACCCAAAGGCTCCCCCCTGTCACCCTTAGGTGGCAGTGGCAGCACCCAAAGGAAAACCTCCAACATGCGTATTAATGCGTATTATTATTATTATATTATTATTATTATTTTAAATGTGCTTGGAAATGGACTGAAAGCAAGTGGAGATCTTCAAGCAATTGTGAGATGTGTCCCCAACAACCCGTTACTGCATTTTGAGCCTGACCACAGTTTCCAAGCAGCAATACAGTGGTACCTCAGGTTAAGAACTTAATTCGTTCTGGAGGTCCATTCTTAACCTGAAACTGTTCTTAACCTGAGGTACCACTTTAGCTAATGGGACCTCCCTCTGCCGCCACGCCACCGTCGTGTGATTTCTGTTCTCATCCTGAAGCAAAGTTCTTAACCCGAGGTACTATTTATGGGTTAGCGGAGTCTGTAACCTGAAGCGTACGTAACCTGAAGTTTCTGTAACCCGAGGTACCACTGTATATGTAACAGTCCGACCTGAAGGTTAGTAAAAAACAGATAAGCATAGAAAATCTCTCTCTTTCTGACCAGAAAGGATTGCAACTGGCACACAAGCCTTAGCTTAATCATCCTGATAAACTGTGTGTGTACACAGACCTGCATGCATAATGTATGCACAATAAACAAAGATGAAGCCACAAATCTAACTCTTAACTTATATTAGGGGAAACAAAAGGCCCCAGGTCCAATCCTTGGGAGATGGGGCTGGGAAAGACTCCTGCCTGAAGCCCTGGAGAACCACAGCCAGTCACCACAGACAATGCTAAGCTAGCTGGACCAATGGTCTGACTTGGTATAAGACAGCTCTTTGTGCTCTTATGATTTGTCCCAAGTCATTCAGCAAACTTCATGACTGTGCAGGCGTTTGAATTTGGGCCTTATGTCTAAGCTCAAGCACATGTTGCTAAAATAAAACAGGTAGCACATCCCAATTACCACCATGCTACTTTCTAACAATAACACACGCACACACTCACAGGGCCTACAGATGTTAGTACTCTTCCCCATCCCATAACAATATCCAACATTCTCCAGCAGGCAAGCAGAGGATGCTTTCGGTCGAGGGCACTGAAAGAGATTTGCGCAAATGCTGTGCTTCTACTGACAGACTATTCTTGATCCAGCAGAGGTTCCCATCAGCCAATGGGGAGGGAGGCTTTTTTCTTAAGACCACCCTTTACCCTCTTGCCCAACCTCTAATGCTATTATGATGGGTTCCCAACCCTCTGGAACAGATTTGGGAAGGTGATGGGAGCTGTAGGGAAGAAAATGAATATGTAATAATTGCCTCTTTTTATGAATTCCTCTGACAGAAGCCTCAGAGCCTTCTGTCAGCAGAGGAACACCGCTGAATACAAATAGGGGAGGAATTCGTTCGGTCTGCAATGTTGTGCACCTATCCAATTCACACCTTCAGAACTAATATGCAAACTAGCCTTCAAAATTCACACTTTTCTGGATTTTATGATGCAATTCTCCAACAGAAAAAGAAATGTACCGATAAAAGCATATTATTCGGGGAAAGTGGACATAAATGTGTATGTTAGTGAAAATAATGTACAAAATGCATTATATTATGGAACAGTGTGTGCAAAAAAAGGGTATGCACACAAAAATGTGTATAAATTTTCATCCTTTTTTTTTTTAAAGGTTTGCAAACAACTGTGGAAATGGGATGAACTGAATGTAAAACTGAGTAACTGACAGAAACCAAAACTGACAGATTAGCCAGTCTCCAGATATAATCCACAGTCTTTTGAGCCCTTAAAACTGAGATGAGGTGACACAACTCAATGAGACAATATTTCTCAGCTCTGTTCATGCTCAAAAGGAAGCAGTGCCCAAGCCTAAATCTGTTCAATGACTAATGGAAACGGAAAGTGATATTTAATAAAAATGTTTATAGGTGTTTCAGAAAATATGGGAATATGTATCAAATGCTTACTGCTTTAGCAATTGGATGCGACATAGATTAAAATCTTCCTACTGATGCCAATGCAGTAAACACAGCCCAGCCTTTCTCCACAGGAATATATATGTCTTTCTCAACATGAACAGAAAATTGTGGGTGTATTTTGATCAGTTATATTTTATTTGAGCCACCTGGAACAGTTAGAGAACAGGTACATTATGTAGCAGATCCACTTTTTAGAACATGGGTCGGCAAACTAAGGCCCGTGGGCTGGATCAGGCCCAATTGCCTTCTGGATCCGGCCTGCAGATGGTCCGGGACCCGCCACGTGGACTGTCAGCGTGCGTGTTCTTTCCCTCTCCCTCCCACGGCGCTGCCTCCTCCTCCCTCCCTCCTCCTGGCTTCTCCCTGCCCTGCCTAGAGGAGAAAGGGGGCTGGGCTTTGTTGGTGCTAGCAGCAGCAGCAGCGCTTGAGCAGCCGCCATTTTAAGCAGCCCCTCTCCGGATCCCGTTCACGCGCAGCTCATCGTCCCACCACCGCCAGCCCCTGCCGCTCGCAAGACACAGGTGAGCAGCCACTGGGGCTCGTGGTGCTCTTGCATCATTCCCCCCCCAAAAAAATATAGTCTGGCCCCACACAAGGTCTGGCGGACAGTGGACCAGCCCCCTGCTGAAAAAGCTTGCTGATCCCTGTTTTAGAAGGTGGTACACAGTAGTCAAAATTGTGCGATCTTACGATCAGAGCAGACCCACTGAAATTAATGGACCTAAGTTAGTCATGTCTATTATTTTCAATGGGTCTAATTCGAGAAGCGCTAACACAAGAGATTGCTTTCAACCTCAAATAGAACACATTTATTATTTATATGAATACATGCCAATAGGCTAGATTGAAGCATGTGGTGTCTTCCATTTGGAGCCATAAATAACCCTTCCAAGTGGGAGGAGCCTCAGACAGGAAGTGCAAGGGCTCAATGTCATGCGCTCAACTCACCAAAGCGGCTCTGCACACTTTAGGCTGAAATCTTATTGGAAGTAAATTCCATGCACTTTAAACTAGAGTGTAAATATTTGCACTGAAGATAACGAGTTCTCTACAGTTAGAAGGGCAGGCGCATCCCCCCTTTACCACCTTGCTGGTTTCATGTCACGTATTATCCAACCTAGCCCAACAGCGATATGAAAACCCAGCACAACATCCCATTGAAATTCCTGGCTGGTAACCACACTTATTTATATATAAATTACGCAAATTAAAATTCTCATTGCAATTACAGGCCTCACTTGCCAAGTATAATGCTAATTATTCAGACATTTTAACATGGCGATGGTTGGTGACAATACTGCATTTCATCTCCGCTTTTAGACCCTACAAACACTGAACAAAATGACTGTCAGTATGTTAAAACCCCTAATATAAAATAGATTTTCAAATGTTGGTTGTTACACCCTTTATCCCAGCCATCTTTGCTCTGATATTGCATTGCCCCCCTACTCCATATACCTGTGTGTGTGTTTATATACATTTCAGATACACAATATATGAGCAAGGAGCTATGTAGCAGTGTCCAGATGAACAGCTTCAGCCACCATAAAATATTCATTCATTTGAAAAATATTTGCAATCTGTCCAATTTAAGAAAATCCTTGTTAACCCAGGAGAGGGTTAATTTCATTGCAAACAATGTTCTCGAAAACTCTTACGGGCAAAATGCTTTAGTGAAAAGTTTTTTTTTAAAAAAAAATATAAGATAGATTTAACAATTCCAACATTAGGCATTAATCCTCTTTCATTCAAAACTATGCTGATAATAATTTTTGCTTGTCATTCAAATGGTAAGTAATAATTATAGATTTGGGGCTTCCATCCCTGCTTCATTAATAGTAAATTGCATGGAAGTCTGAAATGAAGTCAGATATGATACATCTCAAAATGCAATTTCCATAGCTTTCCTTAGTTATGTATAATTAATTACAGAGTTAATAAGGAGAATACGGCAAAGAAAGGGAGTTTATTCAACCAGGCTGCCTTCCATTATCAGATTCCTTTTGTGCAGTTTTCTTTCTTTCAGCAAATTTGGGTGACAATAAACCAGAACTGAATACATACATTACTAGCTGGAGCACTCAATGGTTTTAAAAAATTGTAACCTACTACAAGAATGTGTGTGTGATTTTTTTTTAAAAGGAGGATACTTTATATTGTTCAGTAGCTCCATTGATTTATTTCAATGCATTTAAATATGTATTTTCAATTTACAAGTTTATTAAATGCAGTGGTGTTTTTTACTTTACACTGTATAGAAACAAAGCAAAGGTTCTATATTTGTCCTTCAAAAGGAAAAGTCCAATACTACCTCAATCTGACATCCTTTTCTTATGTCCCAAAATGAATAGAAAAGCCTAAGGTAGTTATGGGACAGAGTTGCAGAACCAGGCGTTGTTGGACTCCAACTCCCATCAGCCCCAGCCAACATGGCCAATGGCCAGGGATGATGGGAGTTGTAGTCCAGCAACATTTGGATGGCCACAGGCTCCTCCCCCCAGTATAGGAAACAACAGGTGTAGCAATGTGAATATAGGCAGGCCACATGTGGGGAGCATTTTCCCACGCCCAGTCAAAGCAGTCTACTGCCTGAGAAATAAAAAGGCAAGCCATTTTTCAAGAGCTGCACCTATTCCCTTTGCCTTTCCAATAGCAGTCTGTGGATTTATGTAACTTGGACCATGCCCCGCTGGAAATACCCCTATAAGCTCTAACTTTCTGTTCCTCTATTCTTACTGCCCTTTTAGCACATATATTCCACACAGAATTCTGTACAGGTATCAAACTACTGTGGCTTTTGGATATTCTTCCTATAGAACCAGCGTGGTCACCTGCGATTTTTGGCCAATAAATGCAAAATGGCTACCCCTGCGATCGTCTTTGGTCTCCCTATAACCACTAGATGATGTTATCAAAAGATCTGGGCTAAAGCATCACCAGTGGGCAGCTGATAACACTCATTTTTCACTGTCTGATCCAAGAGAGGAGAAAGAACTCCCATTATCATTGGAAGCTCAGGTGGTACTGGTAGCCAGGAGGGATTTTAACAGTTTTAGTTGCTTGGTCTGCCAACTACCTAGAAAAGGTGGATCTGGCCTCTTTTCACCATCCATTAGTTCAATCCAGGCTGCAATTACATGGGGCTGCCTTTAAAAAAACAGTTGCAAAACTGCAAATGGTATAAATTGTGGTTGCCAGGACACCACTGGGAACAAGGCAGTCAGATCAAATGACAGTTATCCTACATCAATTGTCCTGGTTACCAGCTGATTCCTGGGATGAAGATAAAGTGCTGGTAATAAAATTTAAAGCCCTTACTGGCAGCAATCAGGTTATCTTAAGGATGTCCTTTGCCTATATGAATTTGTATGAGTTTCTTGCTCTCTCGTCCATCATTAACAAGTATACTATTGGTGGATATCAAGAACAGGGCCTTTTCAGTGCTGGCACCACAGTGTGGAATTCTCTCCATAGGATGGTGTCTAAAAAGAGGTACACACAAATAATGAAGTGCCACCCATTATTTCCTTCTGCATTGCCATGTATCTTAGTGCTTTGATTGCTACTGTTGCATTTTTATATTCTTATAATGTGTCTCTTAAATGTAGGCCATTTTGGAAAATTAGTTTGAAAAGCAGGTTATAAAACCAGTAAGTAAATCCCCACTTCCAAAAAATAATGTAGAAAAACACAATGTGCCTTTAGCTGTTCCGAACGAAAATTAAGAACAAAGAGAAGGGGAAACAAGAGCTGTGCCTCCAAGGCAAGAGTCCAAGCTGCCTCTTGCAATGAATGGTACAAGTCAGTTTTCCCTGACAGGTAAGATAAGTGCAAAGAGTAATTCATTTCCTGGTATCTTTCTGCTTGACTATCTAGGCACCCACATTAAAACACAATTTCTCACTAATACATACACAGAAACATTTTTTTCTCCTCCCTTCAGACCAGCTACATATTTTCAAGCACAGTGATTGAACACCCTATCCAAAGTAATGTGAGTTTCATTAATGCATACAATATTTTAATACATAAAGGTTCTTTCCGATGGGTCTTCACCGAACCACATTTTTGAGGCTTTCTACTGCCGTTCTCAAGGCTTTGTTTTCTTAAACAAAGATTATTTGAAATGCAATATGCAAGAATATTTGAACAAATAATTAGGAGTTGTTGATTTTTAAATAGGAAGGGGAAAAAACCATCCACAGTCATGTTATCTCATTTGGAATGCCAAAGACATAGTATTTTCATTGTCCAACTGCAAATACACAGACCATCTAAAGAGTAGAACAGATCTCATAAATATGGCCTCACACAACTGGTGTACCAATTATGGCAACAAGGATATTTTTTAAATAAGAAGTATTGCAAACTTTTCATATTTTACGTATATCTGCCTAGCGTTGTATTAATACGAAATTCCCTGGGCATGCAACCTCTGACACATACGAAAAACAGAAGGTAGTCAAGGTGATGACCAGGGAGTTTCTTAAAGGACAAACATGATGGAATACAATGGTGGAAAGGTTTGGAGCCAAAGACAGAAGCTACTGAGCAAAGTCTCATTTTAAGCCACAGGCTTAAATCTGCAGCTGAGCGAGATAACTTATTCCCACTACGACCTGTTTGGAGCTAGAGAGAACACATTGCTCCCCAAGCTGTCCTTCCTTGCCTTGGGAAAGAACAAAGGCTCTGTCTTGGCTCTATTCAGACGCAGCCTACTGGAAGGGAAGCAAGGTATATGTGGCATTCACATGTGCAACTGGGGACATGATCATGCTGGAGTACAGGGATGCATTTGTGCAGGCATGACAGGGAGCAGGAGAGATACAGATGGAGACAGAATGCTAATTTTCATTGAAAACAAATGTATGATAGGTGTACTCATGTATGATGAGCGAGCTTTAGAATAGAATCAGATGCGCATTCTGGAGGAAGCTCACCGGCCACTAATCACCAGCAATATAACTCTCCGTACTCAAAGAATATGCTCAACTTGCACGTCTTTAAAAGGATCCTGGAAACACTAGCACTGGACAAAACACCATCTGTTCAACCTTCCATTTAACTTTCTTTTCTTGGCATTCAAGCAAGAGAAATCCTTTCCATCTGACCTCCTGAAAAATTGCTATTACCGCGCCTTCTAATAAGAACAGAAATTTTCTCTGCCCTTTGTCTTTCACAGAGACCAAGGCAAAGCAACACAGAATTTTCACGAATCATTGCTATTTGCTTATTTTAGGCTCAGTGGGTTTAATTTGTACACACTCGCAATGAATGCCTTGCAGTTCGGATTCCCAAAGTGCTGTATCAACATTTCAGCAGCCCTTTTTTTGAACCCTTACAACCTAATGCATAACACATGTTGTCCTCTTTTTTATCTACCAAATATCAGCTTACTCAAGGTTGAATGACAACAACTGAGTGTGGATAATGAAACAGCACTGCTATATTCCTAACCAACTAAAAAACACAGAAAAGTGCTCAAACATGCAACCTGAATCCAATTCCAGCTTTTGTCAAGTTGACAGATCAAATATTAATACACAAATGATCACGGTAAACATTTCTTTAGCACGTGCATCTCCATTTATATTTCTTTATTTTATTAGATCTTATCTCAAAACGAGCTTTCCTTTTGGAGGCACAAACCATAAACTTTAGCAAGACAAAGTTTTCTTTAATTTTTAAAGGCATTATTTTGTGAGACCAAAGTATCAGTGAACTAGTTCCAGTTGTGACCTACAAGAAAGTAAACCAATAGGTTGGAGCAGAGCATGGGGGGAGGGGGGAAACAGATCTGAAAAGGTGTAACGGTTGGGGTTTTTTTGTGTGTTGGGGTTTTTTTTGCATATTGAATCCAATTCTCATATCTGAATGTGTCTGCTATACTAAAATTCAGAGCCCCAGGAAGTTATTTAGCTAGGAAAACTGTTCAGACTCAGTACCTGCTGTTTAACAGTTTTGTTTTAAGTCAGTTTTATAGAAATTTATTGAAATTGGCTTTTGCAGTTAAAGTTTAGAGTATATGTTCAATTCTAACAATTAAAAAAACACACCACAAAACCAGCAACTTAAAACTAAGAAGGCAATGACAGAGGAGGTGGAGGAATTGCATTTTGAAAAAAGCAGTGCTGTAGGGAGACAATACAGACTCCTCATCAGAGCTTGTGTTGGCCAAGTCCGTGACATAATTATAGAGCAAGAAACCAAGCTGTTGCTCACCTACCCAAAACACCTGAAAGCATCCAGCGTTCAGACAGCTACACAGATATATCTGTTTAGACTGTCAACAGAACTTAGACCTAGACCCCTTTTGCTGCCATGCCAGGTGCCAGAATATTGGCCTTTTTGCAATGCACACTCCAAACACCCATTCTGATTCTTGCTGCCCAAGAATCTTGAGATTCATTTTCTATCCGTGTGAGAGGCTGCTTCCTAAGGTTTTGAAGCTAGCGCTTTAATTTATTCCATCTAGCAGCAGGGCTGCTGCTGGCCGGCCTAGCCTAAACCTGGCAGAGGGAAAACAAGCCTTTTAAATATAGCTTGACTTATACCATCCTTTCTGCTGGTTAGTTCTGCCGGGTTCCCAGGTCATGTGACTGAACTGAACTGAGTTACGAGTCCCTCCTGCCCCCAGAACATCCATTATTCGGGGATGACACTGGCATAGGTTCTACGCAGCAAGTTCAGCCCTGGGATGTGGGAGTTAAGTCTGCATATCTTCAGAGATGCTCCATATCCTAAACTCGCACACCCTGGTGGATCTAGGGCTGGACTTGCACTCCAAGACACTAATGAGAAGAAACAAAACCAAAGCGCTAAGATTAACTTTAAAGTAAAAAAGATTGGTAAGAAGATAACAATCCTACTGGCTTTTAAAGAGCTGGGGTTTTTTGTTTTTATTATAATAATAATAATAATAATAATAATAATAATTTATTATTCATACCCCGCCCATCTGGCTGCGTTTCCCCAGCCACTCTGGGCAGCTTCCAATCGAATGTTAAAAACAATACAGCATTCAATATTAAAAACTTCCCTAAACAGGGCTGCCTTCAGATGTCTTTTAAAGTTAAGATAGCTGCTTATTTCCTTCACATCTGGTGGGAGGGCGTTCCACAGGGGGGGTGCCACCACCGAGAAGGCCCTCTGCCTGGTTCCCTGTAACTTGGCTTCTCGCAGGGAGGGAACCGCCAGAAGGCCCTCAGAGCTGGACCTCAGTGTCCGGGCTGAACGATGGGGGTGGAGACGCTCCTTCAGGTATACAGGACCGAGGGCGTTTAGGGCTTTAAAGGTCAGCACCAACACTTTGAATTGTTTTTTTGTTTTTAAAAAGAAAGTTTTATGCATTGCATTTCCCACAGTGCACCTGAAGCTCCTCTCTTGAGTTGAATTCAACAGCCTTAGTGCCTTACCAATATCATGTGCCCAGTAGAAATGTCCATGTTGGACTGGACTGGTTCTTCGCACCAGGAAGAAGTGCTGCTTCGAGCAGAAGGACTCTGGATGGGCCCATCGCTGAACTGCGAAGATATGCTGTTAATGCGAGACGTATGCAGAGGCTCTGGGTGGTCCGAGGTTTTCACTGCCATACGCTGGCGGCACAACTCCTAGAGGAGACAGAGAGAAGGAATATCCCGGGATTAAAATCCAGACTCCAAGAAATCATCCACCAAAACACACATTTAATACACAGGGGTTTCTCCCTACATGCAGGCCAGACTCCTGTTTCTGCCTCTGAGCTTCATGTGCACAAGAACTGCATACCAGACAGAAGGAAAGATGCAACACCAGCAGGATTGTTGTGCTATGTATACTGCTTGATTATCAAAGCTTATTAGGATTTGTGCAAAGCACAAGATTTCAAAATATTCAGATTAGGGTCAAAACTATGAATCCCTGTGACAGGGTGAGCTCCTGTTGCTCGGTCCCTGCTCCTGCCAACCTATCAGTTCAAAAACACTTCAGAGTGCAAGTAGATAAATAGGTACCACTTCAGCGGGAAGGTAAACAGCGTTTCCGTGCTCTGGTTCGCCAGAAGTGGCTTTGTCATGCTTAGTCATGCTGGCCACATGACTCGGAAGCTGTACGCTGACTCCCTCGGCCAGTAAAGCGAGATGAGCGCCGCAACCCCAGAGTCGTCTGCGACTGCACTTAACGGTCAGGGGTCCCTTTACCTTTACCTATGACCACTGGGACCTACCTACTCTAGAATACTGATGTCAGTAAAGCTACTTTGGAATAAATTTCTGCAGAGGCTCCCGGCTTGTGGAATGCTCTCCTCAGGGAGGTTCGGCTATTGCCTTCATTATACACCTTTCGGTGCCAGACGAAGACATTCTTCTTTAACCAGGCCTTTGGCTGATTGGCATCTGATGCCCTTTAAAATGTGTTGTTGAAGGGCAATTAATGGGTTGTTTTGCTTCTTGTTTTTACAGTGGTACCTCGGGTTACAGACACTTCAGGTTACAGACTCCGCTATCCCAGAAATAGTACCTTTGGTTAAGAACTTTGCTTCAGGATGAGAACAGAAATCGTGCCGGGGCAGAGGGAGGCCCCATTAGCTAAAGTGGTGTCTCTGGTTAAGAACAGTTTCAGGTTAAGAATGGACCTCCAGAACAAATTAAGTTCTTAACCCGAGGTACCACTGTATTATGTATTTTGTGTTTTTTATATTGCAATTTTGTGTTGTGAACTGCCCTGGGATCTAAGGGTACAGGGTGGTATAAATTTTTAAAATAATAATAAAAAATGTTAAGTAGTACCATCAGCAGAGGGTTCCCAAACACAGCAGAGCTGGCTTACAACATTTTGAAGTAATCTATAGCACCATTTAAAATGGGTGTGTGTGTGTGTGTTTCCTCATAAGACCATTGGTTCGGAGTCTAAATTTGCCTAACTGCACCAGGGGGACAGTTTACCATTCAGAATTGTGTAGCCAAGTTATTCAATTTCTCTGCTCCCTTTTCACTTGGCATTATGCATATATTCCAGGGTTGGAAAAACCAGATGACTTCTTTCATGCCTCCTTGAATTGCAATAGCTACATCACACTCATTGGGAGACAACTGAAAACAGGGGTGTGTGGGGCAGGTTTCCCAAAAAAATGTATAGAAAATGGGGGGGGGAGGGGCTGACAGATAACTTTCAAAATGTAGATTCTAGGAGTCCAGCTAATTTCCAAGGTCTGGATTCTCTGTCTGGCACTTAAAATACAGGAAGCCCACTTCTAACATTTGAATGCTATATGTTAGATTCCTCTAACATATACTGCATGCTTTACAGTTTCATTTTTTAATGACATACAGTGTGTTAAGTTTTTAAAGCAATTGCCTACATGTGCCACTACTATGGTACATATGCACTAGACTTGTAGCTAGATAATATTAGGGTCCATTCAGTAAGACAATTCTCTGGTAGCCTGATAAGTAGGTCGGGCAATGGCAGTCCATCAAGGTTTCCTGGAACTTTTGCTTTGGGAAATGGCAGGGGTGCAAAGACAGAAGCTGAAGGGAAAGGTCCATTTGCCCCCCACTTTCTGATAACAGAGCCCCAAGCCAGAGCCCAATCGCATTTGTATGGTGGATGCATTTGCATGAGTTTCATATCAACCCTCCCTTGTTTCTCGTGCTGCAATCCACACGGTATCTGGACCCAAGTCAGAGGTTACTTTTCATAGGTACTTGAAGGCATCTCTAAAATAACTTTTGCCCAACTTGGTTACGGGCTACAGTCATACCTTGGCAGTCGAACAGAATGCATTCCGGAAGTCTGTTCGACTTCCAAAATGTTCGGAAACCAAAGCACGGCTTCTGATTGGCTGCAGGAGCTTCCTGCAGCCAACCGGAAATCCTGCTGGACATTTGGCTTCCAAAAGAATGTTAAAAAACCGGAACACTCACTTCCGAGTTTCAATCATTTGGGAACCAATTTGTTCGAGAGCCAAGGCGTTTGAGATCCAAGGTACAACTGTATTATGTAGAACCGGCACCAATGTGGTATTCTAGATGGTTCTGCTTATTTGTATAGAAAAAAAACTTTCTAGCATCAATTATTATTTGCTGCTTACATTATATGCTTTCTTGGAATGGGAAACAACTGAGTAAAAAGTAAATGTAAGATGAATTTTAAAAGGTGAATCATTATGTGATTTAATATTAATTACTGCAAATAATACTTTTACATATATTGCATACAGGATCAATGAATAATCTGACAGAGGATGCAAGCCACTTCCTGTGCACTCTCTGTTCACGTAAAAGCAGCATTTGTTTAGGCTTCCATCTGTTCTTAGTATTCATATCCTGACCAGGGCTATACTCTACAACTGCTTTCCCTTGTTCAGACTGCTGGCATTAAGGTGGGGCAAGGGAAGCAATAAGAACAAGTTAACAACCAGAAATTAATAGCTCCTATTTATACAAAAGTAATATGGCTGAAGATGGCATAACAGTTATGCAATCTCTGTTTTTCTACAAATGTATTTTTTAAGAAATATAAAATAACTTTTGCTCTTAGGGCAGCAGCAGGAAAGGAGCCCCCCCCCCAGTTGAAAGATAACAGATATGGAAAAAGTAATGAACCAATAATTTATATTAGAACAATTGAATTCCTTACTGAGAGTTTCAAAAACCATTCTTATAGTAGCTTCTGAGTCAACTGAAATTGCTTTGCATACCCAAAGAAAGCAGAAATGGTTATCTGAGCTACACAATGGGAAGTGCAGCCAAGATGTACAAAGGGTACATCAGAAAATGGGCGAGGCTGATGCTCAATGTTAGTCATGCTCAAAGTAGATTCCTTGAAATAGATGGACTTCAGTGAGCATCACCCAAAATGACACTCTGTTTTTAAAGTAATAGAATGTTCTTTCTTCTTCCCACCCTTTCTTTATCAACACAACTGCTTCTAATATCAGAAGGAACAAGAAAATAAAAATTCCTTGGGGCAGTGACAATTCTTTACTTGCTTCCTTCTAGCTCAGGCATGGCCAAACTTCGCCCTCCAGCTGCTTGGGGACTACAATTCCCATCATCCCTGACCACTGGTTAGCTAGGGAGTTGTAGTCCCCAAACAGCTGGAGGGCCAAGTTTGGCCATGCCTGTTCTAGCCCAACCGGTCCTGGCTTTTCTTTTGCCGCAGAAAAACGGGAGACTCGAATGGCAACAGCTGAAAGGAACATCTTGTTCTGTGGGAGGGGGCAAAGCAAGCAAAGAGGGAAACCTCTTGGGTGGGTAAAGGATGCAGTGAACAAGGCCTGTGTGAAACCATCTCTTGAGCCAACACAAGCAGGTTAGCACCCAACCATATACAATTCCGGGCACCACACAGTAGAGGGTAGTACTAATATCTCCAACTTTGTACCCCTTTGTTTCAAATTCACAAAGGGTCTTTAGAGGAGAATTCTTAGAATACATTCTGGAAACACCATGTTGTGCATACTGGAAACTCCTAGAACATGGGTAGGCAAACTAAGGACCGGGGGCCGGATCCGGCTCAATCGCCTTCTAAATCCAGCCCGTGGACGGTCCGGGAATCAGCGTGTTTTTACATGAGTAGAATGTGTCCTTTTATTTGAGTATATTCCCAACAGGGCCGCCACTGTTTCCTTTCTTACATTCATTTATTCACTTTATTAATTTATAATATGCTAGGCATTAAGCTACTACCATAGCAGCGTGCAACAATAAACTCCCTCAGATAAAACAGTTATGAGAAAAATATCAAATACCCCTTGCAAGTGAAGCCATCCATCTGAGAAAATGTTTAGAAATCAGATTCTCCATTAGCGCTGACTCAGTCTATGGGCTGAGGACGATTGCAATAAATGTTGCATTGTTCAGTGGAGCTGACACTCAGCCAATATTTAGTAGTCAGACCAGTAAAACTATGTTCTGTCTGTGATACTAATTCTGACAAAGCAGAAAACTCAAGGGTTGCCCCTTGGCTTTAACCAGCGTCCTCCAGACTGCATTCTGGTTTCATCCCAGAACAACGTGATTCTAGACTAGCTCCACCTCAGCTTTTGGCTCAAGCAGAGTTCAAGGGTTTTGGTAATCTTATTTGCCACCAGTGAACCTTCCGCATTATTATGACATCCATTTCAAAAAAAGTAATCAGAGAAACCATACACCACAATAGTGGACTGAAACCCTGTCCCTGAAAAATGGTGATGTAACTCTTTGTGCGATTACTGCCTTGACGTTATTTCTAAGCACTTGCCAGTGTGAACCCACTTCATACATCCCCCAGTTCCACTAATTTAGTAATTAAATTTAGTATCAGTTCCGCTAATTTAGTCCTCTGTTGCTCCTACCCACCCCACCCCAAAAAAACAAGAACAAAAAACCTGTCCTGAAGTGAAATTAGTAGGGCAGACTGAAGGCCTACTTTTGGCGCAGCCTTTTTATATCTGAGTAGTCGAAAGACCCAACATGTTTTATTCTTTTCTCAAATGAAGTTACAAGTGCAAGTCCTCTTCACATTTGCTGGCAATACATAACAATGGTACAGAAAAGCTACAAACTTCTATTGCCTGTGTCACCAGATTTACTACCCATATCCTTGGGACTATCCATCCACCCTTATCACA